TGCTAGACATCCACATATTACACAGACATTATTGTTGCTGTCAGTCTCTTCATCACATTGGTTGTCCTCTGGCAAGTCCTTGTCCATCATGCTTCGCTGGACACCCTGATGTTGTTCCACAAGTTGTCAGGTCACATTTGTAGGTCTCTGCAGAGAACTCCAGTCCTGGGCGGTGTTTCTGCTGTAGTTTTTCCTTTGATATATGGCATGCAGTCAAGGGAAAATTTACTTGCAGTCATTTTCCTCCAGACTGCCTTTATCTGGGAAATCATGATGATTTATTCAGCATTTTGTCTTATGAATCAAATTATCTGGGGTTGATGGAGGAAGATAATATACCAATAAGATCTGTGGAGTCATATGCAGTGGAAATGGATGCTGGTCAAGAAAGGCACTTAAATGCTGTCTCTTCCATTACCTGCAGTGCAGTTCCTGCTGACTGTCCTGACTGTCCTAACAAAATTCTTAAGGTTATTCACATGTTTCAGAAGTAACCAATATATTGCTGAAAGCTTTGGTCTTGCCAAGATGTCAGAATGACACTAAGGTCTCCTAAATGCTAAAATACAAGTACCTGGAGGAATGTGCCCAAGTCCTTTGAGTTTTTGAGCAATGAATTTTGATAGAGCATGTTAGGATTAAGCTTAGTCCTTATGCACTTTTGCACAGTTCTCTTACAACTGTTTCTCAATTACAAGTATGTTGTAAGTATCAGCATATTCATTTTCAGTGAATTGGCATTGGTTGAGTGACAAAAGTGGGATTTGTATCCAGATTTCTTCAATACTTCTTCAATAAAAATGAATTATTCTTAAATTGGGACTTACTTTTTGAGAGAGGAATACATAATACAAGCATGTTAGGAACTCTAGCAGGACTTGAACCAGACTGAGTTCAGGAGCTGATTAGGAGAATAATTTCCAGACTCCAGAGAGACATTCAGTGAATTGGCATTGGTTGAGTGACAAAAGTGGGATTTGTATCCAGATTTCTTCAATACTTCTTCAATAAAAATGAATTATTCTTAAATTGGGACTTACTTTTTGAGACAGGAATACATAATACATGCATGTTAGGAACTCTAGCAGGACTTGAACCAGACTGAGTTCAGGAGCTGATTAGGAGAATGATTTCCAGACTCCAGAGAGACAAACATCAGTAACCTTTCTACTCCTAGCAGGGTTACCAAGGTAGCATTCAAATCCTCAATAGGTCTTGCTATTATAGGGGCAGATTTTCAGAGGTTCTTAACCCAGCTTCTAATTTAGTGCTGCTACTTTAAGCCCACAGTATGCCCAGGCAAACTAGGCCAATAGTGGGTATTTACAAACTGGGAGCAGCTTCCACCAGAGCTGTTCTTTTGAGAAGAGACAGGCAACTTTGACATTAACTTATCCCTTTTGCAGCTACTCTGTTTGGACACCTTTTAATTAAAATTTAGGAGTGTTCAAGCAGTCACTGATTGCATTTGGCACTTCTCATTTAGAGCTTACCCTGGTGTGTGCTGCTGTGGTGTGTTTTAACCTTGGATCAATGTCCAGCACATTCCCTCCTCTGCATTTTCTTCCGGTGTCTTGGACTGGTTGGCCTGGGACTTTTGGGATGCACATTTTGACATGAGAACACATCTATTTAAAACACATCTGTACTATTTAGGAGTGAGAAGTAATATACATGCTGCTGTTTTTGACATATTTGGGTTTTTTTAAAGGTTTTTCGACTTCTTGTGGCTCTTTTTGTCCTACACACAGGAGAAAGCAAAGCAGCTGCTCTCAGAGTCTGTCTGAATGCTGCAGGGAATTACACCTGGGTGACTGCAAGGGAAGTGCAACAGCAGAGTGGGCAACTGTGCTCTCACCTCAGTGTCACCTGTTTTGTGGTGAGGCAGCTTGAGTTTGTCTTTGGAAACTTTGGCTTCACAGGCACTGTTTTGAAGAACGTCTGTCTGCAGAAGCTGAACTGAGCATCCTTACACTGGGCCTCCCTTCTCCCTTCTCTCTGCAGAGTTGCAGTAATACCTGACACACAGCAGGTCTCACAGTCAGGAAGGCTTTGTAAGACTTGGATGTTCATAGTAACTGGGAATTTTGCCTTGAAAATGTCAGAACACATGCTGCATGCATACATGTTCTACAGTGGTGCAAAGCATGTTTAATGGGCAAACCCAATACAGCTTATTTTTCAGGAAACTGACAACTTATGTAATTTACTGTTTGATAAATTAGATACTGGATTTTGCTGTAGGCACTGTTTTTTCATATGTGCTACTGTAAAACTGATATTATGTTCCCTGAAGCATTAGGTTCTGGGTACAGGGTATAATTACAAAGAAATTAATTTGGATTTAAAAAGTTACTGTCAATACACTTTTTGTTGCTCTTTAGAGAAACAAAAAATGGCCATGTACTGACTCACAGGTTTAAAATACAGATGAATTAGTACAATTTTACAAGGTGAACTCAAGAAAGCCTCAGTGGTTATCCTGGGTGACTGCTGATTTTTTCTGTTAAGAGAATTTTCTGGGTAAAAATAGATGTACTCAAAGGTCATGATGGATTAAGTCTCAGGAATCTAAACTAAGAAACTTCTGTTTGACTTTGCCAGTCACAACACCAAGGAGTTTTCTTTCCAACAGCCCACGAGCTGCTTGTTCACAGATGGCAGATTGTGATGTGCTATGCTAAACTTGCCACGTGCCAGCAGACAGGAACTCCTGAGTGTGGCAAGCTGAAGCTGCAGGAGGTGATGCTTCTGTGGGAGTGAAGGGAGAATGTCTGTACATGCACACCTCACACAAGGGAACAGATTTTAGTTGGAATGTGGATGTTTTTTGTAGAGGGATGTAATGCTGCAATAGAGAGGGAAAATGAATACAGCAGTTCAGCCTAAGTGAACTTCCTGGGAGAACAGGCTTCCTTGGCATTGTCTACAAGATTAGATATTTTGGCAGCACTTTCTACTTCAATATATACTTAAATACTAGGGTTTTTGTATTATTAATTAGATTTCAATTAAAACTGGTAGTTTTAGATGTTCCTTTTTCCACATTGTTTCAGCTCCAGTAGAGCTGTTTTGAAAATAAATGGTTGTTGTATGTTTTCATGTATGTATAAATAATAAATCAACACTGAAATCAAGTATTAACACCATCAACTTTAAAATTTCTGACTTCACATCCATTACTGAGCTTGTGGCTAAGTCGTGCTGTAAGTGTAGATGGCAGTTTTGGCCTGGGCCACATTCCAGGCTGGAGCAGAGTGCAGTGCCAGTGCAGTTGTGCTGCCTTTGGGGCCATACAGGGCTCACACTTCTGGAGCCAGAGGCATTAAATATGGCCTGCAGGAACATCACCTTGGCTTCTGGCCACAACTATTTACAAGGTCTGCTGGAAGCCATGCTGGCCCACAGGCCCAAGTTTTATTCATACTGTCCTTCCTGACATTACTGAGAATTATCATTTATAAAAACCCCTTTGCTCCATCAGTGTCTCAGGTGTCCTTTCTGCCACCTTTTCAGCAATACCTGTGTGATAAATAGGTGTGATTCGTGCTGATAAAATTGAAACAGTGATCAATATGGATATAGTAATCAATATTTGGAGATAACAAAATGGTTAAAAAGGTAAAAAGCTAGGAAAGCAGAGGGGAAAGGTCCGCCGCAGATGTTCTGCAGATGTTTATCTTCTGCAGATGTTTGAGGCAGGAAAAGGAGTCAGATAAAGCTTGCTAAAATTAACTGAAAGAGGGAAAACTTGGGTGGAAATCAGAAATATGTTAATTTACAAGATTTATGATATTGGCTTATATAATTTTGGTTTTGGCATATATGATATTAGCTTGGTGCGCATGTGTAACCCAAAGGTGAAATAAAGGACACCTGAGGAAGAGGAGCGGCCTTCATCTGGACGACCCCCAAAGAGTGGTGCGACCCCCTAAAAGATGGTGGCGCATGTGCGATGAAGATGAAGGTGGAGACACCAGGGTGATGAATCGAAAATAGGAGGGGATGCTGATAATAGACAGTATAAAGGGGGGAATTTTGGGCTTGGCAAGCTTGTACGTGAGGTGGCAGGGGTCCCAAGGCCCTCGCGCTCCGTACCCCGCGGTAATTTTGCTTATACATCATTACCCGAACCAGACTATATTTTATTATAACCAAATTATACTGCCAATTTATTGATTGTATTCAATTTTATATACTTTAAACAATTTTATTTAAATTTCATTAAAATTATTGTTACGTTTAATTTTGTTTGGCCTTTTATTTGTGATTGGATAATTGAGCAAACATAACACCTGGGTGAAACTTACTACTTCTTAGGAGCACTGCTATTTCATGAGTTAATTTAATAATGGTAAAAGTATAATAAACATTTTGTCCTCAATTTTTAAGGATCTTGTGCTGTTGATTTTTGGAAAATTTTGAAGTTCCATTTTGTGGTGGTTTGTTCTTCTGGATTTTGATTGTATGTATTTAATAATATTTCAACTTAAATAGGAATGAAAACTATATTAGCATTTCAGTGAACTTTATAGAAGGGCAAATCGCTGGTTAGGGCAGATTAGAGTTTTTTGGCAACAAGTATTTAACTTTCAAAATTTAGAGTTGCTGTAACTTTGCATAAACAAAACATTTGATGCTTTTTCTTCCTTCTTCAGAAAGAGAAACACTTTTTAGAAAAAAGGTGTTTAAAGTTTGAAAATTTAAGAATGTGTGATTTTTCCGAAGAAGAGATCTTAGAGGAATGTGATATGGGTGGCCCCAGTGTTGCAGTTCTTGTGTGGTTATGCTGGTTATCCCCAGTGCTTGTGCTGGTTTTTTCTTCCCCACATTATTTCTGGATGCTGTTCATTCCAGAAGAACTTCAGACTCCATGTTTTTCTGGATTATGTGCCAGCAGTATTGCAGCAAGTGCACACTCAGGTCCTGATGGGTTCCTGTTACTCTCAGTGCCATGAAGCAGCTGTCTAATGATTTCTTCCTTTTGCTGTGACCTTTAGGGAAGGATTGGTACCTGGTGCACATGTCACTTACTGTGACAGATGTGAATGACAACGTCCCTGAGTGGGCCATGGAGCCCTTCCCCTTCCTGGCTGTGGTTTCCCCTGAGGCTGCAGGAGGGACTGAAGTGTACAAGTTGCTTGCTGTGGATGCAGATGAAGGGATCCATGGATCTGTAGAATATTTTCTCTTGGAAGGTAAATTTTAACCCTCCCATTCCCTGAGTATTATGCCTCATGATTGTGACTTTTAATCCTCAGCTTGAATTTCCCTTCCTCCTGCAAGAGGTTCATAAACCTTCAGCTCTGAATGTGAGAAAAATCAACTTTTATTGATGTATGGACAGATTTCTTTGCAAAATTCAGTTCTTGCCCATATATATCCCTGGAGATGATGGGGACTGGTGCAGTCAGTAATCCCAAGGCTTTGGCAAGGGGAGGCAGTGGGGACTGTATTTATGAGACAGTCTGTGGAGGAGTAGTGTGTTGGGTGGAGAGGAGGGTTAATGTTCTTATTCCTTGTGGGAGTCATGCTTCTGGTTCATTTGTAATAAATTTTTAAAGGTCTGGGTTCTGCAAAGCTTGTACAAACTCAGTGATAGTATTTTGTGTGTCTCCTTTTAAGAAACTCCTTTTAGTAATAGTTCAAAAGTGTCTGGGCAGATGAGGAGCAACAATACCTCTCCAGTGAGTATTTTCTGGTAAGGGATATTTGGGGTCAAGCAACAGCAAAGTTTCAGAGGATAAAAGAAAGATGGACAAAGACTATTTAGAAGTGCCTTGAGTGACAGGACAAGGGGGAGTGGCTTAAACTGACAGAGAGTAGGTTTAGGTGGGATATTGGGACGAAATTCCTCGCTGTGAGGGTGGGGGAGACCCTTGCACAGGTTGCCCACAGAAACTGAGGCTCCCCCTGGATCCCTGGAAATGTCCTGGGTCAGGTTGGACAGGGTTTGGAGCAAGCTGGTGGCCCTGGCCATGGCAGGAGGTAGAATGAGATGGATTTTAAGGTCCCTTCCAATCCAAACGATTTTATAATTCAATGATAACAAATAGTGATAATTGTCTAGAGAGTGAAATAGAATTTTGAAATGCAGTCATGAACAATGAATGTAATGACTGATTTCCAAGTTCTAAACAAACTTTTGGACTTAGTGTACATGCTGATCCTAAGCCAAAGCCAACTTGGGAATTGACACTGTATTCTCCTCCTAATTTTAATCAAACAAAAATGTTCTCAGTGATGACAATTTGTGGACGTGTTCCTTTCAGGTGGTGAAGACAGATTTGAAGTTGAGAAGGACACTGGCTGGATTAAAACAACAGGTTTGCCATTGGTGAGGGACAAGGAGTATTTGCTGACTGTACTAGCAGCAGATAAACTCGGAAGCAGAGGATCCCCAGCCTCTGTTTCTGTAATTGCTGGATTTCGACCACCCCAGTTCACCAACATCTCATACTCTGTGTATGTTCCTGAGAGCACCCCGCAAGGAGAACCGTAAGTAACAGCTCACAACAGTGCAGCGAGGCTGTGCTTCTGCTTTGGACTTCTCTTTGATCTCCCCAGAGCTTCGGTATTGTTTGTGAGTCATAAATTAATACTGTGAGAAGCAATGTAGGTCTCTTAATAGAAGTGATCCAGACACAGTTTGATGATGTATTGTTTTAGTCACCCTTTTAAGGGAAAAGTGCTATGGAAGAGTTGTGCTTTCTTAGTTTTTGAAATGATATGGAAAGGTTGATTGTTTCTTAACTTTCAAACAAAATGCAGAATACAAATTAGTACCGTTACATCATGAAGAAAGATATCCTGTGTGAAAGAATACATTAATTTTATGTGTCAGATTTGGAGAAGTGCCTTCTCCACTAAGAGAAAATTAGAAAAACTAAGATTCTTTTTCCTGTCTTCATCACAATGACAAACTGAGCTAAAATGAAGATGCCACAGAACTTTCCATGTTATTTCTCCATCCTTTCGATGACCATGTCAACTGAAGTATCACAGAAAATGTTAGTAACATAAGTCCCTTCTTTTCCAAACAGTTTTTTTCTTACAACAAATATTTTCTCTTCCACTTGAATTGAGAATACTTTTGTCCAGTCAATGTGTTCCTTCTGTGGCAGTTCAACTATTATTCATATTATATTATCTGTGGTGCTAGAACATTCAGTTTTACAGAGTCTAAATAACTAAGAACTGTTAAGATATAAAACAAAAATCTTAGTAGATAAGTTTTTTTTTTTTTAAATTGCAATAAAATTAAATTGCACAGGCATAAAAGAAATGGAATAACTGCAAAATACTATAATGTCCAACAGTCACCTGCTGTCTTGGGTTCAATAATGTTTAGAATTTTAAAAAAATTATTCATAACTTTTTTATCACTATTAAAAATAGGTTTGCACACCTTAGATGACAATAGATTAGTCAGTTGATCAAATGACTTAGAAATATCCAAAAGAAATGCAGTATTTTGTGTGGTTATTACATCTAAAAAGGTTTGAATATACACAGTGAAAGTGTGGAAGTTGTTTCTGTAATGTGTTGGCCAGAAATAGCCATGAAAATCCATTTCCATGAAAATCCATAATTATTGGACCAATTACCCAATTATGCAGGTGTAGTGGTTTTGGTTTGCCAAACCAGAACAGAATTGCTGTTATCACTGAATTTCTGGGTTTAGGATTTCCTAATCAGAGCCTGATTAAGGCTGCTGCTGAGCAGAGGAGCATTATGAAATCTTTCCCTTCCTTTGGTCTGCCTGTCACACCAATGAGCTACAGCTGCACAGGCAGCCTGAGCCGAGGAGGTACAAAGATAAAAAAGGCAAAAAAAGTTTTCAGTTGTGTTGTTAAATGTGCTCCCAGCATGGCCTTGAGATTTTCAGTGCTGGCAGGAGAGCAGAGGTGGCTTGAACATGCAGCCAGAACAGGGAGTTGGAAGGAGAGCAAAATAATTCCTGTTGGCAGGAATGCAGTCATGCACTGCCTAAAACTGCCTGTGAGACCTCAGCACAGGAAAATACAGGAGAAAATTGAGGAGAGATAATGACCCACAGCAGTAGTGCACCAGAGGGAAGTGAGGCACAGCAGCATGGCAATGCAGGGGGGATGAAAAAGAGTTTGCACAAAATGGGTTTGTGTTTTTTTTGACTGTAATTGCCACAGGATCATGTTGGTGTGTTCTCCTAAGAGATTAAATTCTTTTTCCTAAGAAACTTGCATGTTAAAGCAAGAGAACTTGAGGAATTAGTTTTCTGGCTTAAGTCCTTTAAAAATATTTAGTTTTAATTTTCTTCTTTTTCTTCTTATTGTGGGTGTTTCCACTTGAAGGCTTGAAACACATTGCACTTCAGTGGAAAAAAGATAGTGTCAGATGAGCTAAAAATATATGTCCAGTGTAAGCTGTAACTCACACTGCTGTTACGGCCTGGCTTTTATCCTTTTGCTGTTATCTATTGGAACTTTAGGATGGTATGACTGCAGCAAACTTACTGTGCTGTTATTAAAACAAATCTTTTTCATCTTGCTTTATCTTTTAGTTTTCTGCCTGAAAACCATCACTACCACAAAAGGAAGTTGAAGTAGGCAAATTCAGTTGCAGCAAAATTTAAATCCTCTGCTCCTGCATTTTTAATCCTTACTGTGTTCTGCTTCCAAGAATCTTTATCTGTTTAACCCCAAGGTGATAGAAGCACTGTGTAACAAAATGCTTGAATTTGGTGTTTAGATACAGCTGTCACTGACTTCATTGAGGATACCTCTGAGCAGACCTGCAGGCTTGCACCATCGTTTCTGATATGCATCGCTTTTGTCATATTTTTCACGTTGTCGTGTTATGTCCTTGAGTCCTCTCTTTTTGTTTCGTTTAATGCAGCTTTCTTACAGTCACTGCTGTTTCATATCAAAAGAAATCCCTGAGCTACAGTTTGCTCACTAATCCTGGGGGTCTGTTCAGCATTGATCCAGCAACAGGAGAGCTCAGTCTAACTCGGAGTGTGGATTATGAAGGAGACCCCCACCAGTTCCTCCTTTTGGTCAGGGCAGAGGAGAGCGAGGGGCAGTTCAGCACTGCTGCTGAGGTAGGTGTTCCCCTCCAGCAGCCTGGGTGCGTTTCCATTTTCCTTCATCCTTTTGAATCTGGGGAGATTCACCAGGAGCTCCTGTTTCTCCATGCTGACTGTTCTGCTGTCCATTTCAAAAGTCTTTCTGTCTGTGGGGAGATGTTGAGGAGTGGTTTAGGTACTCTTGGATTTCATTCTTGCAGATGCTCTAAAAGCTGTTTCTGAGGGATCAATATGCCATCCCATCATAGATCCCAAGCCTTATCTGGTAACACATGGAAATGAGTGTGGCCAAGCCAGACATGAGGTTTTGTCTAACTCTACTATCATCAAGTATGAAGTACATTTGAGATTATTCCACTCTAAAACAAAGGCAGGAACTAAGAATTACTTGTTTTGTATCAAGAACACAAAGTGAACTCGTAAAACAAGAAAGTAATAAAAATTCAGTGATATTAAAAGCTGATGGTTTGTGGTATTTTAGAAAGCTGTTTGACACCAAAATATTTCTTAATATAGTTATTACAGTTATTTGAATTCAGAGATTCACTGAGCTAGGAAAAGCATACATTATGAGTTTGTTCCTGCTGCAGGAAATAAGATAGAGAGCTGGAGACAGAATTATTAGCATCAAGTGTGAGGACACAGAGACAGGAAGCAGTATGCCAGTGTAACAACCACTGGCTGTAGCACACCAGAGCCTGATAGTTTCAGCTGACCCTTGTGTACTACAAGATGAAGAGTGGTAAAATATGACTCAAAAGAGGATTATGAGATGATTTACAAATATGTTTAGCCTAGAGGTAGTTTAACTTGTACCTGCTTTACACTGATACAACCTCAATGGTAGAGAGAGAAGCTCCAGTTCATGCATACCTGCTCTGCAAGGCTCATGAAATACAGCTCTGCTTGGTGCTCTGTAAGGCAGAATGCCTCCACTAACTGCATGAGGTGCAGCATGAGCCACCAGAAAGGCTCCCTTACAAACTCCTTACTGTTGGGAGTGTAAACTGTGGACTCATATTTGACACAGGGATAAGAAAGCATTTGTAAAGATGTTGGAGGCAAAATTGTATCTCTTACTTGGTTTTTCAGAACCACAGAATATCCAGAGTTGGAAGGGACCCACAGAGATTGAAGCCAGTTCCTGGCTCTGCACAGACACCCCAGCAATCCCAGCCTGTGCCTCAGAGCATTGTCCAAGCACTCCTTGAGCCCTGTCAGGCTTGGGGCTGTGATCACTTCCCTGGAGATCAGTTCCACTTATATCTGATTTGTGCTGCTGTAATTAAATTCAGAACTTGGTCTTAGAGATTTATAATGCTAAAATGTAATATGCTTGGCAGTAGAGTTTTTAGTGTTACAAATCACAGAAGTGGTGCAAGATAAAAATAATGGGAAAAGGGTGCTTGGCAAGCAGATGGTGCATTTTCCTTTAAACTAGTAATAAGGAATAATCAATGGAGATGAAGGGTGAGTGGAAAACATTGCTGCAGGGTCAGGGACTTGGCAATTGCTAGTATCTTGGAATGTAATATTTCAGTGGCACTCAGCAGAAAAAGAGCAATCTAAGAAAAATGTCTTATCCTATAGCTCCTGAAGACTTCAAGGATGTTTTTGGGAAATTCTTCCATGTGGTATTTCCAGAGCAGTGAGGCAGTTCCCTTGATTCACTTTGCCGTTTAACATTCCCCTCTTCTCCATTAAGGTTTTGGTTGTAATCACAGATGTGAATGATTGTGCCCCCGAATTTCATCAGTCGATTTACAGCAAAGTCGGTGTTTCTGAAACAGTTCCTATGACAACTGCACTTCTCCAAGGTTAGTGCTCCTGAAGCCATTTATTATGTTCACTGTATTTTTCTCCCTTGCACCACTTAGAATTCAGTTCAGAAAGCAAAATTACTTGTCCCAGCATGGGTAGTTGCAGCTCTCTGAAGGCAAATGACACCTTGTAGATTCATGTCAGAGTTATTTACTGGTGCCACAGCCCAAACAATTTTGGGGGACAGGAAGGCAAAAGAAACAGATTTTCTGTGTGGAATTTTGAACTAACAGAACTTTGTTGTGGTTGGTATTACAGCAGCAGGCTCATAGTAGCAGTCTTGCTACATTTCTTGAAGGAAGAGAGTGATCCTGGATCAGAAGTTATGGACGCCTCAGCTCACCTTCTCTGTCTCTGAGTCCTGTGTGGGCTTGCTGTAGGAATTCTGCTCTCTTGCATTAACAGTCTCTTGTACACTTTAACTGTTCTGTGGGAGGTTTTGTTTGGATGCTTGACAAGAAGACTGCTTCTTCCCAGGGAGACCAGGCGCTTGAGCTTCAAGTGGTGGTGCTCTGTAAAGTGTAGCAAGAAAACAAATTTGTGTCTATTAAGCAGTTGTACAAGGGCCCTGTATTGTCTTTAACCCTTCCATAAACTTTCTCTAAATCTTGAGGGGGGAAAAGGAAATTCAACTGCTGGAAAATTGCTTTTCCCTAGTAAATAGTTACTATTTATAACCTCCTATTGTTCTGCTTAGTTATTTATCCTGTACTAATGGTAGTTTGTTAATTACTGGTCTGTAACTGTGCTTTTAGCATAGATTTTTGTAAGTTGTGAATAGGATCTGACAAATGCATAATGGGCATCAATTGAATAATATATGTAAATATCCCATCTTTAATTTCCCAGTGTGTGATCTGAGTGATTTTAAGTCAGCAGTGTAGGTGAGGTGGACATGAGAATATACTTCTCTATGTGAGAATATAGTCTTGATGGTACAGGACTCTTTAACAAAGTCAAGATCTAGCATCTAAATTCTCCCAGGAACTTAACTTTTGGTTTTTTAAATTACCTATTTTTGAGCAAGGGTTAGTTCACTCAAAAGCACAAGGGGCAGCAGAGTTCTCTGACTGATGTCAAGCACCACATGCCAAGGCAAATCCTGCTGCAGTAGTAGTAAATGTACTTACCATTCCAATTCACCAACTTTGACCTACACAATATCTTTCTCTTCTCTTCTACCAGTGACAGCCACTGACTGTGATTCCAAGGAGAATGCCCAGTTGCTGTATTACACTCTGAGCCAAGACTTCAGCATTACTTCTCATGGCACTATTTTTCCAGCCACACGGTTGGACTATGAGCGCCCTGACCACCTCTATGAGTTCATCATCATGGCTGTAGATCAGGGGGAAGAGCCCAGGACTGGCACAGCAACTGTTAGGATCCATGTCTCCAATGTGAATGATGAAGCGCCTGAGTTTTCTCAGACTATGTAAATACAAATTCTTCAGAATCTGTTATTTATTACTGTTGCTTTTTATATTTTTGTTTGAATGGCTGATCACAGAATGGCAATTGGCTTTTGCTCAGTCAAAGCTGAGAGCTGGTCTGACAAATGGGGGGTGATATTTTGACTCTGAAACTCTCATTAAAAAAAAAAGGTAGTATATAAACACTATATATCTTATTAATTTTTTTATTCTTATTTATTATATCTCTTTTATGCATTTTTATTTTTTCCAGTGTGTACTGAAATATCCGGAGCAATAATTTCAGATTATACAGTTCAGGAGCACCCCTCCACCACCACAGGAAATCAGGCAGAAAAAACAGGCAACAGAGTTGTTGCCATCAGCCTTCATTTAGAGACATGGGGGAATTTTGCCTTTTAATTAGGCAGTTGAAACTTAGAGTTAGCAGTCTGCATCCCTGGTTTATAGCTGTCAAAGAAAAATGCTTAGATGACACAAACCTAAATGGCAACTGAATTACAAAACCCACAAGATAAATGCCATTAAGTGGAATTCACTTAATTTCACTTTCCATCCCCTACAAATTGTATGTATATATTTTTTTCTTCTAAATACATGTAAGCACTTCCATAGCTGGGACTCAGCAGCTTCTGAAGCAATACCAGAAGTGCTGTAAATTTGCAGTGATGTTAGAGCCTTAGTAATGGAATTTCCAGTCAGCTTCTGCACCAGACTTCTACTTTTAAAAGTAGAAGTTGCCCAGAACAAAACCAAAGCAAAGATTTCAGTGATGTTAAGCTTGGGGTTTAGCTGAACAAAACATCAAAGCTTTCTGACAGTCCTTGTTTTATATGCAGGTAACCTCTGGCTTCGAAATCTTGTGCCTTTCTTTCTTTTCCAAACATTACTGAAGAGATATGGCTTGGAAAATTTGATCTTTTGTAATTTAATGTTGGATTTCTCTATATTTTCAAATACTAAACCAGGTTGTGTTTCTCTTCCTATTTTTAATTTAATTTCTTTTACTATTCAGAGATATTGAATATTTATCTGCATCTGTTCTTAATATTTTGATCAGAAGCAAGTGATAATATTTAAGATGCTGTAACATCTGTAACAAATTGGAAACAGAAAACATAGTTTAAATAAAACTCCCTGCCAGCTCTTGTACTTAAAGTTTGCTGAAGAATATGATTAAAATAATATTATTTTAAATCACCAAACCTTCACAAGAAGCTTTTCTGTTCTCTGTGCAATAGCAGGGAAACTACTGTTGTGTGTACATGTAGATAGGCATTGAAATTGAATTCATCCCCTGGAATACAAATTATCTCAAGTTTTTGGTTAACTAGGCTTTGATTTTACTTTATCTTTCCTGTTACGAAAAAAATCTTGAACCCAGAGGTAAATTTCAGACAGAACTTAGCTGAAATTTTCCATGAAATAGAATCATTGTGAGCACATGTAAATTGGGGCCTGTTGAGAGACTGTTTGCAGTTAATGTTGTGCTCTGTGGCAGTCTAATACAAATCTAGGTGATGGTGTTGTCCTTCTAGCCCTTTGTTCAAACAGATTTACAGCCCAGTATAAACTCATGATTCCTTGCCATGAGCTCTCTTTCATCACAGTTATTCTTTATCTCAGATAGGAAATGCTTAAGGCTACCACTCTCTTTCATGTTGTCAGTTTTTACTTTCTCTTTTTTAAGAGATCTCTTTTGAACTCCACTCTCCCTGTATTTCATGTAAAAAATTATCAGTATTACTGTTCATTTGCTTTTGAGATGCACAGTTAAGACAGTGTCTTGAGGTTTGTGACTGAGCTAAACCAGAATGATTTACTTCTCTTACTTCGTTGCATATAAAACTGGGGGAAGAAAAGAAGCTGTTTCTATGGAGGTTTCATAGAAAACTCACATATCTCGACAACAAAAGGGAAGGAAAAGGTTTTCTGAGCATCCATTTTCTTTTCCTTTCAATTTTTTGCTATTCTCAGCATCTGGCCAGTGTGTCCATAAGCACTCTAACGCAGTGGTGCATCTGTACTATGGTGGATACAGCCAGCTGCAGTTCAGTCTTAGAGCTGAGCTTTGGGATGTCTCCTGTGGACAGACCTGGTGGGTGCTTAGTCTGCCACACGCTCAATGCAGTCAGATAGAATAATAAATATTTGGGACTTTGCTAAAGCAGGGGCTTTTCTACTCCAGAGAGCATTAAGCTTAGGCTGATAATGCCTCTTAAGAGCTTACAATGTCAGTGATGTGTCTGGACTTGAGCAGAGATTTTTGTAAAACTGACATTATGCACATATCCTCCACATCTCACTATCATAGTCCTGCTGGGCAAGGACTGCACTGAAAGCCTTTTGAGGGCTTGTGTCAGAAAGTGCTGTGATGGGAACTGCTTTAACTTAGCAAATGTTTGCTTGGTGTTGGAATCAGGAAGCTCATTTTCTCAAATTCAAAAAATCCCAAGTGAATTCTGCATTTAGCACAAGTCTTGTTGCACAGCTCATCTTCAAGGCTGTGGTACTGCTGGAAGTTTGGAGGGAAATGTGGGGGTAAAAACAGAAAGTTGTGGATGGTTGGATAGATCATTAATGCCATAATTTCACTGCTTAACAAAAAAGCATCATATCAGTATAATTGTATTAGAAAATTACAAATTCCTGCAGTGCCCTTTGAACAAGAAGTTAGTAGGTGTTGTAAAGTTCAGTTCTGTATCTATTATATCCTGGTTAAATTCATGAATGTGCTGTTGTCTGGGTTTTTTAACAGCTACAGGAGCTTTGTTTCTGAAGATGCAGGCCCAAACACACTGATTGCCACAGTTAATGCTGTTGATCCTGATGGAGATGGTGTGACATATGATATTCTGTCTGGGAATGAGAGAGGGAACTTTGTTATTGACCCTAAGAAAGGTAATTGTATATTAGCTCTTTGCTGCTGTGGTCATAATGTTGGTTCTGTTGTGATGCACCTTGAATTTGGTCTTATTATCAAACTGAATCACATATGCCATCTTTGAAGCTTAATATTGGTAAGTGCAGGGAAAGAATGCATATACTCTCTTATAATGATAAAAAATTGTATAATTTTCTAAATCTATGTATAATTGACCTCTCTTACCTGTTCAATGTTTGCTTTCAGTCAGTAACTTAATAGAGGCATTATTATAGATAACAGGTAGCTCAAGAGACAGTAACTTAATAGAGAATGTTATTATTGATAACAGGATGACATTCCAAAATGTCAGACAAGTATCTGAATAGAATTTAATATAAGAAACTGGACATCTGGGATTATAAATGAGGCTTTTCCCACCCCATGCTTGTGTCAATGTCCTGATCATGCTGGTGAGAGCAAACATTTCTTGCCTGGACTTATCTATGTTGTGCTGACAGAAAATGAAGTGTTTGTAGGTGGAATGAGACTACCACTGTTTTATTGAAGTGAAGGTAAAAGTCTATAAAATCTGAAGAAGTACATTTTTCATTTAAGATTAATCATTCACATGCCCAGTGTTGTTTAGCCAAGAATACTGCATGCATGAGAAAAGATGATGTGTGGAGGATACTTTACAGTTTAAGGCATTTGTTCTGAAATGGCAATTTCTACATCTTTTAAAATTCTTTGCAATAGTCACATATTTTCAAAACATAAGAAGAAAAAAGGTTCCCACCACATTGGTGTCCTTATTAGAAAAAAAAAAAGTAATTAAAATAAATGCACAAACACCAACATCTGAGTAGGTTGGCATATCCCTTTAAATTAATAGGATTTATTTGTTGTTGATTGCTTGAAAAAAACAGAAGAGGATGTTTTGAGATTGAAACAGGCAAACAAATTGAAATCCCATTGAAGGATTGAAGTAACTTAATTAACTTCAGTTAAACTACTTTGTATTCTGAACTGCAATCAAAATCTGAACTTAGATTTTCCAAAGCGTTGAACACATAGGAAGGACCAAGCTGCCCTTAGTTATTCCTTCACTTTATTTCATGGAGTTCACTTAACATGAAATTTTAATTTCAATGCAATCATAGTTCTGCAATATTAATGTTAGATTCTGAAACATTCCCAAAAATACAGTCTGCAGATAACTTGCAAGTATTGAATACTGACCCTGAGTTTACTATGAGCTCCTTTACTTCCTTTCTGACTTAAAAATAGAGTTGCAGGTTCCAAGAGTTAAATTTCTACAGATGCTTTGGCACCTGAAGAGGAACAAAGGTTTTGAAAGGGTCTAAAAGCTGCAGCATGAATATACATGACACTTCTGAAGATCTTTTTTGTGAGAAACAGATGTTTTTGGTCAAAACATCTTAACATTTGATTGATAGCATCTCTTGGGATTATCTCCACAGTTTTAATATAGAAAATCATGTATAGGTACAATTATACTTCTTTGCCAATTAATTCTATAGTATTTGGAACTTAATTTTCGGAACATTAGCAATAGGTACAATTATACTTCTTTGCCAATTAATTCTATAGTTATAGTTCTATATTTGGAACTTAATTTTAGGAATATTAGCATTTTTTTCCAAAACACTTTTAAGCTTTTGTTGCTGAATAAACCAGTAAAGGTTTATACAGTGGCTTACAGCAGCTCCTTTTTAGGAATGATGTCAGGGGAATAATCTGTACCGTCTTGTAGAAATGTGAAGGTACAGTGGAGAAGTGTCAAAGATAAGTGCTGCAGCTAAAACATTACATTTTCAAGCAAAATTTAGTGACATTGATGCTGTGAAAATACTCTGTTGTGATGACAATTGTGATTATTCCTGATGAATAACAGATGTGATGGATGGTGGAGTAAAACAATGACAGCCCGTCTCTGCAGGATCTCAGGCAGCCGTGGTCCCTTCTGCATTTGTAGCACCTCTTTTTACCAGTGCCTCCGTGTCCCACCCAGCAGGCTGTGTCCAGTGGGGAGTTCTGAGAGGCAGAACAGAGGTTTCTCAGCCTGTACCTCTGTAGCTTCCCAGCCTGTGCCCTGACTGAGCTGCAGGAAGGTAAAATTGAAGGAGTCTCAGCTGAGCTGTCCATGGCAGCTGCAGATTGAAGAAAGCCATTATGTGCAGGTCAGCTGAGTTATGGCTGCAGGCTCAGTTTGCTCTGTAAACAAACCTGCAGACAAACCTGTTGTGATGTCTTAATTTTGTTTTAATGTGGGTCTGCAGTAAAAACACCATAGTTTAATTAAACAGCACAGCTTTATGGTTTATTGGTGAATAGGTAAGCCAGAATGCTTTGTTGTCATGCTTACTAGTGAAAAGAATAATGGGAATGGGTAAACGCAGCAAAACCCCACAACCTGCTGTTTTTACAGGGCTAGTTAGACTTCGTGCAAGCCCATTTCCTGAGCTGCAGGGGACAGAGTATGTTCTGAATGTCACAGCTACTGATGATAATGCCTCTGGAGGGCCCCATCCTCTCACCAGTACTGCCCAGGTTGTTGTGAAAATTGATGATGTCAACAATAACAAACCTGTCTTTCAGAAGGTAAATATATGAGCCTCTGGCATTTGTACTGGACTGTGTAAAACTGTTTTAGCACTGTTGGCACTGCAGGTGTGCAGCAGAAGAGCTGGTCAGGAGGAGCTCTGCTTCCCTCTGGGTCCTGTCTTCTCCTCCTTTTCCATCCCTCCCTAAGGCTTTCAGGGTTTGTTCTGCTCTTGTGGCAGAACAGCTGCTGTGAGCTCCTGTCTGTTCCCTGAGCCACACTTCATCTCTGGCATTTCAGAGGGCGAGGCCAAGTGAAACACTTCTGGAGATCCCATGTGAGCAGGAATCCCCAAGGATAGCTGTCTGTGCAGTGGGCTTGTTCCACAATACTCCAGAACACCCCTCTAAATTACAAAGGCTTCCTTTGATGATGGCATCTGGAACTAATGAAAGAGAGAAGAACGAGTGTTTTAGCTTAAATAGTGAAGTACTGTAAAAAATAAATGCTTGAATTTGTTTTCAGAATGTTAATTCACATTAAAGATCTGTTGTCTAAAAACTTCAGGTGGGGTGCTCATGGCTCAGATGTTGATGAGCAATGTTGCATATTTTGAAAAGTCAGCAAGTATTCATGTCAGTCTTATAAATTTCCAGTAACCTCTCCTTGACAAAGTTACTTTGTGTAGAAATCCTTTTTGATCAAAACAATTCTGTGGTTTGGGCAAGTGTATGCCTCTTCTACTAGACCTTTGCTGGTATAGAAAAATATTTGCATTTGGAAGCAACTTTAACTTTTTCTCCAAATATTTCCATTAGCTGGAGATGCTCAGTGGCCTCATGTTTTGTGTTGTTTGTATAACCACAAATAGCAAGGGAAATTTAAATTAATCATGGTAAGATAATGCTTTAACAGCAGAGCATGGCAATGCAAGTGTAGCTAAATAATTATTTTTTCCCTCTGCCAGTATACCTTTAAATCAAATGGCAAGGGAAGTCCTTGATTTTCTCTTTTTTAAATTGTTCTTTCTTTCTTTTCCCCCCATCTCGTAGTGCCAGTATTATCGGGAACATGCTTCTGTCCTGGAAAATCAGCCTTCAGGGACTGTTGTTCTGCAGGTTGAAGCCACTGATGCTGATGAAGGGGCCAATGGAATAGTGAAATATGGCTTGATGCACAGAGATGGTGTCCTGCCAGCATTTAGCATTCACCCTGACACAGGTAAAGCAAATGTCAGTGCTGATAATGGCATAGAGAAACCATCTTGTGACACTGTTGGAAAAAAGGCTTAGATAAAATCAGACTTCATGCTTTTTCATTTAGAGTTTTGACTGCAGACCAAATACAAACTGTATTAATTGCATGAAAAAGTTTTCCATGAAACTAAGTTTCATACATGTCCAGTACTGAACTAAAACTGATGTTTTCCTTGAAACGTGGAAATTCTGCTTTGTGAAGTAACTTGTGTGCTTTTGCAACTGGATTTAAAAATCCCAAACAAACCTATTTTAAGTGTACATTATCTTGCAACATTGCTAATAGCATATAAGTGATTTGTCCAAATGACAGCAGTCTTACAAACAGCAAAGGAACTAAATCTTAGAAGGCGAAAACTAAGTTCAGGCTGAATTTCTGGAGGATAAAAGATATGAAACATTCCTTTACCCTGTACTTACAGCTCTTCAAAAGAAATAATTTCTTGAGAAACTCATTCTCTTAGTTTGTACTTACCTCCATTTTCTATACTTAAATTAAGCTTCCATTGTAATTCAAATTCCTCTTGTGTGTGGATGAAATGTAACTGAAGTTTGAGTCTGCCTGAGCAGTACAATGTCAGCTGTTGCAATTGTTAAATCTCAGGATTGGATCCTTGAACCTGAAGCTGATGTTACAGGTGTACTTAACCTACTGCATGGTATCCCAATGTATCGACAGAAAAATAAACATCTGCTTGAAGAAGGTTGCCAGATGCACAGAATTTTAACTCTTTTATATTTAATTTGTTTTCAGGAGTTCTGACAACTGTTCAGGTATTTGATCGAGAAAAGCAGAGGGAATATCCCATCACTGTGACAGCAACAGATCAGGCAGCGGAGCCACTCATTGGAATATGTCAGATCAATATTGTCATCCTGGACCAAAATGACAATGACCCCAGATTTGAAAACACCCACTATGAATGTAATTGAGAGTCATTGGATAGACTTTCAGTGCCCTGACTGTGAGCGTACCCCATGTCTCAGATTTTTGAGTTTTTGCCTATCCTGGCAGTAGAACACGTGACAAATTTTGATGCATCCAGAGATGCACTTTGCTTATTTAATGCAGAGCTGTTACTCTGTGTAATGTGTGATGTAACATGTACAGCCTTGGCTCATAGGCCTGCCTTATGGGAAAGTTCCTTGAAACAATAGCCATGTCATTCATACAGAGCAATTATTCTCTGGGTTAAAATACAGTGAAAAGAAGTATCTTATAAGAAATAAGAATTCCAGGTTATGAATAGGGTAATATGAAGTTCAGATATGATCTGTAGCTCTGGAGTGATAGCAGCCATTTAAAATACTCAGTGTGTGTGGCCATTGTTCCAAGGAGGAGAAAATTATACTAAAGTAATAATGTATGGCAGTTATTTCTTTATGACTTATTAAAACGTCCATGGTAGTTTAGCAAATTAATGATAAATTTGAAATATCCTTTCCTTCCATTAGATTTCCTTAAAGAGGACACAAGAGTTGGGACCAGCTTCCTGCGTGTTGCAGCCCGTGATGATGACTACAGCTCAAATGCTGCCATTACATATTCCATAGCGAGTGATGAACCAAATTATTTACAGATTAATCCTACCACAGGCTGGGTGTTTGTGAACCAACCCATATCTCAGGTATGGTGCTTGCTTTCCTTTTTAAGCTATTTCAATATACCGTAGGAGAGACTGAGGTCATGAGTTTGGGTTACCTCTCAGGTTAAATGATCAATACATCTATTTAAATTAAACATGAACCTAAGGCTTTTAGCTGCTGGGTTCATGGAATTTGAATTGCTTATGAGCAAGCCCTGCTTTCAGCTGGGAAGCAGCAGCCACAGCACTGCCTCTGAGACTTGCTCTTCCCATTTCCCTGGCTCTGGCATGCTGATTCCAAGGGCTGGAGGGGCTGAGGGCAGAAGCAGAGGAGCAAGAACCCAGGTGTAGCACTTCATTGTGTTTACAGGCAATGAGTCAAGATGCAAACCTGAATGGGAAAAAGCGTGAAATTTTGGTCCTGATACAGATTCCCAAATTGACATATGTCAGTTGTGGTGCATTAAGCATAGCTTTATGTCCCTCAGGAAGGTGAAAGCATAATTCATGTAGTTATCTAAAATAGATCAGTTTCAGCTATTTCTAAATACCTACAAAGCAGTTTGATATTTTCAGGTTTTAAAGTAATTTGTTTTGAAATTGAAGTATTGTTGTAGATGTCAGTCTTTAAATAGATATTTTTAATTCTGAAATTGAATTTCTAAATAATTGACACACAAAAGTTTGGTGAAGGTGTATAATTTTAATGTATTTTCTTTAATGACTCTAAGAACCCTACAGACCTAATAACAAGAACTGTTAATAGGTAAGCTTAAGAAGTCAGGACCTCCACAAAGTGGGTTTTTTGGTTCTGTTTGGTTTTAAATTTTGTGTGACATTTGCTTAGGTTTATTGAGACATATAGCAAAATCTTCCAACCCTCTGAAGTAAGTAAATAGAATTTTCATCAAATTTACACCTAGTTCATATTTTGAGTTCATCTTCAGATCTTTTTCTTCTATGAAGGTAATTTTTAAGTGTACCTTTAATTTTATGTTTTAATTTATTTTGGAGGCCTGCTCAAAACCTTCTGTAATGAAACCTTTTTTACTGTTCAGAAGTCATCTATAATTCGAGAGATTATTGCTACAGATGGAGGCAACAGGAGCAGTAAAGTTGAACTTGCTGTAACTGTAACCAGTGCAAAAAACCAGCCTCCACAGTGGGAAAGAGACAGCTATGAAGTTGTTATTCCAGAGAATACGACACGGGATGCCTCAATTTTGGTAAGGTTGTTTGTCTGTCTGTAGCTCTCAGACTGCAGAGTAACTGTGTCACCATCATATTTTCTGGAAAAATCCCTTTGCCACAATTTCTCTACTGGGAAGCTGAGAAGCCTCAGAGAAAAAGGAAAACGATACTATCTCATTTGCTTCTCCTGTGTTTTTCTGCTTTGCATTGTAGTTGGAGATTGTTTATCCAAAGGTGATTGTTTCATTGGTTTCTGCTGTGAATTATTTTAACTTATTAGCCAATTATGGCCAAGCTGTGCTGGACTCTGGAGAAAGAGTCACAAGTTTTTCATTAGTATCTTTTAACCTTCTGTCTGTATCCTTTCTGTATGCTTTAGTGTAGTTTAGTATAGTATTCTTTAATATAACATAAATCCTAAAATAATAAATTAGTCTTCTAAGAACATAGATTCAGATACATCATTCCTTCCTTCATCTGGGAACCCCGCAAATACAAGATAACTGAACATTTTCTATTTGCATAAATAGTGAGCATTTATAAGAGTTTTGTGTTTTGTAGCTGAATATCTGGGAGAATGAAAACACAAAAGCTTTTAGAAATGTTGCTGTACTTGCAGAAGGGTTGATTACACACACTTTTTGAACTGTGCAGACAATCAAAGCAACTTCTCCCCTTGGAGATCCCCGTGTCACTTACAACCTGGAAGAGGGGCTTGTCCCAGAGACCAACATGCCAGTGCGTTTCTACCTGACTCCAAACAGACATGATGGCTCTGCTTCAATCCTGGTAGCTGAGCCCCTGGATTATGAAACAACAAAGAGCTTTCAGCTGCGGGTGCGAGCACAGAACGTGGCTGCAGTTCCTCTGGCAGCGTTCACCACGGTCCATGTTAATGTCACAGGTGTGTGAGTTTCTCAGTGATGTCACAGTATAATCCTGCACTGTTTTCCTTTAAAGTTTTATAGTTTTCTCTCTGTGGGCTCTTTTTGATGTTCTAGATGTCAATGACAATGTCCCATTCTTCACTTCATCCATTTATGAAGCCTCGGTAACAGAGGGAGCTGATGTGGGGACATTTGTCACTCAGGTGTCTGCCACAGACCTCGACCTTGGTCAGCATGGTGAGGTAAGAAAGTGGGCACCTTCATATCCCCTGATGAAAGCTGTGGAATAACTTCTGCAGGAGCAATGGCTAAATAGTCTGGAAATCTTCAGCGTAGAAAAGGGATGACTAATATGGAAATGTAGAATGAAATAAAGTAGATAATTACATGCTTCTCTGTGTTGCCAGGTGAAAAATGCAACTAGAACTAGTAGGTGTGAGGCAGAAAACAATGAGGAAATATTTACACAGCCTGTAGCTTAGTTGAAATGCTTGCTGTAGAATTCCTTTGTGTGGAAACTTCTACATAGACCTAAAATAAGAATGGATAAATGAATGGAAGAAAAGCTGTGTTAAAAGCTTCTGTGAGCTGGAAATCATTGGCAGTACTGCAAACTGAATCCTTACAAAATATGGCAAGTTAACACCCAAAGAGAATGTATTCCTTGCTGATTAAACAAATTGAAAATAGATACATCCTTAGAGCAAGAGTGCAAGCTGAAGTCAAGTCACAAAACCATGCATGTAATAGAGGGTAGAACGTGGTCTGTGATCCTGATCACAGGTTCAAATGGACCTCACCTGTGGATGTTGTAGAAATACTTGGGATCTTTAGTTGAGTTTGAGTGCTGCAGCACAAGCACTGTACAAACACATACTAGTGAAATCAGGAGCTGATTAGACAAATTATTTTCCTTTACAGATCAGCAGTCAAGGAAGTTAACTGGCTTTAGACCAGATTGCTGAAGCTGCAGTTTTACCCAGCTTCCTTGGCCTGATCAAGTACTCAGGCATGGGACAGCTCTTCCTCTCTTTAAGTACTGTTCTAGTGGTGAACTATTCAACAACAGGAAAGTACGTATTAACAACTTCTTTTTAATCCTGTAGGTAACTTACTCCCTGTTACATGACAGTGGCAGAGACTACACCTGTTTTCGCTTGGACCCCCAGACAGGCTCCATTTACACCACCTCAGTGTTTGACAGAGAGGAGAAGGGCTCCTACCTTCTGGAAGTCAAGTCAGTGGATGGCTCTGAATCAGCTCGACCTGGAAAGCATGGCAAGCCAAACTCTGGTAAGGAACAGATGGCTGTGGTAAATGTGGTATTATTGGATTATATCTGAAAACAGACAGCTCTGAAATACAAGACTAAATAGTAATTTTCTTTTGTTTTTCCATGTCTTGTGAAAAAGTGTCTGTTATTCTGTCTTCATGGTGGCTTTTTTACTGTTTAGCTGTGCAACAGTTGTGTCAGAGCTGGAAGATAAGCTTTACATGATGATCAAGCAAATTTTTGTTCTGAAATAAAAAAAACATATAGACCATCATGTCTAGAGTTTAGAGAGTATTGACTAGCTTGATGATCAAGCAAATTTTTGTTCTGAAATAAAAAAAAAAAAAAACATATAGACCATCATATCTAGAGTTTAGAGAGTATTGACTAGCCGGTAAAGATGTGCCTATTATCTGTAGGATGCAAATCTCTGGGCAGGGCAAGTGTTTCTCAAAGCACTGCATATGTACAGTATTCAGTCACAAGTAATTATGAAGCAGGAATATGTAAGACAGAAAATCCTTTTCTCAACTGATTGCCCTGCTTAAATAAAAAGTTAAAATTTTGTGGCTTCAGGACGAAAAATTTTTGACTAAGCACTGTACAACTGCCATATTAGGCATCAATGACTCAATTATTCATATAGTATGTGTTTAAACAAATTGGATGTGAAGTTTATTTGATACCCAAGTGCTTCTGAGTGATGTTGGTATATAGGCATTCCACAACCCTAAGGGTTTGTTTTTGTATTGTCTGCATATTTATCTCCATTGAACGTGCAGGCAGACAGGTGAAGGGATTGCAGCTGACAGAAGTGGCACAGCTGGGATTTGAATGTGTGGCTCCTTGTCTCTGCAGACACGGCGTACGTGCGCGTGTCCGTCAGCGACGTGAACGACAACCAGCCCGTCTTCGCCCAGAGCGTCTACGAGGTGAGCGTGGACGAGGACCAGGATGTGGGATCCACCATCCTTACAGTCAGTGCTAACGATGAGGATGAAGGTAAAGCACTGCAATCCCCCACAGCTCTGTCCAAAATATTAATCAGTTTCATTAATCTCAGCACTCCAAGGCATATTTGGTGGTATGAGAAAAGGAAATGTCTTTCTGTCTCCAGATTTTAAAACTTCTTTAAATGTGCGCTCTTCAGGCATGAACATTAGTTCATAACTGTGAGCTGTGAGGCACAATTTTTATTTCAGGAGGCATACACTAATGTGGGATGATAGGAGATAATTTCTCTGCCTGCAGATACAAATTTTTTATAGATCAGATCATTTTGTTACAAGTGGGTGCCAATAAAAATGTCCTGAATAACTAGAATAAGTAAGACTTCATTTCAGTGAGATTCATTTGCTTTTTCTATGGTGGACAGTATAGTCTGTGTTTGGTTTCTTTGTTTCTTTGTTTTATTTGAATCTAGATTTCCTAAATGCATGTGATGAATTTTAGCTACACTGTTTTATCCACAAATCAGCCAGAAATTCAGCCACTAATAATTTAAAAGTACATAACCAGTGCTGATAAAAGAGAGAGGGATCAGTGCATGCTTCCATCTTTTGACCATGAAGCACTGCTAATTCAGCTTCACTGTATGGTGAAACACTACTTTTTTTTTTTTTGTTGCACAAGTCCCAAGGACTGCTCTCTGTGTATTTGTGAAATGCAAGGAAATCCTGACTTCACTGGATTCCTCCCACTCTGTAGGAGGCTGAGGCAAATGTGGTGAAGATGTACTGCAGAAGGATTTACCCATTCAAGGAACTTTTAGTTTGGGACTTAGGCTGCCTGTGAATCTGCTCTGCAGTGTTGGACAGGGGACCTAGTGTGATGGATATATGGCCCTTCATTTCTGCCCTCTAAATAAAGTTAAAACAGAATTACTACTTCATTGCATAGACACATTTTGTGGAGGCAAATGACAGTTGGACACACCAGAATTGAAAATGCTGCTAAGTAATCTGACATAGCTGCATGTTTTAAAAGACCACAAAAACAATACAATAAAAATAATACCACTAATCCGTTATTGTATGATTTGTACTTCATCTCACCATCAGTTTACTTCAAGAAATGTGTGTTTTCTGACACTGTTGGTAATTGACAGGAACAAATGCTAAGCTACGGTATCAGATCACAGCTGGAAACACAGGAGGGGTGCTGGATGTAGATCCAGAAACAGGAGCCATTTTCATTGCCCAGCCACTGGACTATGAAGAAACAAAAATGTATGAGATCCAGTTGTTGGCCTCTGATGGGAAATGGGAGGATTATGCAGTTATCATCATCAACATCATGAATAAAAATGATGAGGCTCCAGTTTTTTCTATCAATGAATACTATGGAAGTATAATTGAGGAACTGGATTCGTTGCCAGTCTTCATACTTCAGGTAGTGTATGTAGTTTCACAGACTATAATATTTCAATGAAAGAACACAGATTACTGTGGTACAATTATGTTAAAAATAACTCAGCACATAGATATTAATGAAGTTGATTTTGACTAAGTTTTTTTTGTCACTGAAGAGAAGAAGTGGGCTTTTGTGGAAAAAAAATAAATTACAGGGATAGTAAGTAGGATAAACAGGATGGATCATTTGTTAATCCTAAAAAGCAAATAATGGACAATTTAAGGCAGCTATCAGAATGTAATATTTAAATTACCTGTATGAATATGAAGAATATAATATTATTTTAGTCCTAAAATTTTTAAATTGTTAACATTGTTAAAAATGCATATTTGCCTGCCCTGAATTGTCCCTGGATTTGCTATTCCCTGGCATGCACGTGTTATTACCATGTCATATGCTTTTGCTTGGACTCCTTTAGTCTGCAGCAGCATATAGGATGTGATGCAATCACTGCATATTTCATGCTTTCTATGTTTGGTTTTTTTTTCAAAACTGTTGTAGGTTATGGCCACTGATCCTGATAGTGGTGTTGATGGGGGAGATTTGAGATATTCCTTGCATGGGTATGGTGCAGCTGACATTTTCACAATAGATGAGAAAACAGGCAGCATTTACTCCCATAAGAGGCTGGACCGGGAAGAGAGAGCCCTGTGGAGATTCATTGTGTTGGCCACTGATGAAGGTGGAGGAGGACTTACAGGGTTTGCAGATGTGATCATCAACGTGTGGGATATAAACGACAATGCACCCACGTTCTCATGCATGCCTGATGACTGCAATGGGAATGTTTTTGAAAACTCTCCTGCAGACACCTTAGTCATGGAAATGGCTGCAGTGGATCGCGATGACCCAAACGTTGGTGTGAATGCTGTCCTGACATACAGGATAACAGAGAATGTGAAGAACGAGTTTGGTACTGACATGTTTAGTATCAATCCCAGTACCGGGACCATCCACGTGGCAGAGGGACTGCTGGACAGGGAGAGAACTGAAAGTTACTTCCTTACTGTTGAAGCAAGAGATGGGGGAGGGCTAACAGGAACTGGCACTGCCACTGTCTGGGTTGCAGATGTCAATGATAATGTTCCCAAATTCACAAAGAAGCTGTGGCAGGCAGCAATTCCTGAGAACAGTGCCATTGACTCAGAAGTCCTGCAGGTGTGTGCTACGGATGCAGACATTGGGGAAAATGCAGACTTAATGTTCAGTATCATTGGGGGAGACCCAGATGAGAAGTTTTATATTGAGAATGACAAAGAATGGCAATGTGGCACTGTTCGACTGAAAAAAAAGTTGGATTTTGAGAATGCCCGTGAAAGGCAGTTTAATCTTACTATTACTGTGGAAGATCTGGATTTTTCTAGTGTTGCAGTATGCCTGATTGAAGTTGAAGACTCAAATGACCACAGCCCAGCTTTCCTTTCTCAGTTTATTCAGACAAACCCTGTATTTGAAGATGTGCCTGTAGGTACTACAGTAACCACAGTGAGGGCTACAGACAAGGACTCTGATTTGAATGGGAAGATTATCTATTCTATAAAGTCAGATTCAGACCCTATGAGACAGTTTGTGGTTGACCAGTTTGGTCACGTGGTTGTGGCAAGTGCCCTTGATCGTGAAGCCATTCAGAAATACGCTCTAATTGTACAAGCTGCAGATCAGGGGACACCTGCCCGCACTGGAAGTGTTACAGTTTTAATTAACTTGCGGGATATTAATGACAATGGACCAAGGTTTGAAGCACCATACATGCCTGTAGTTTGGGAGAATACATTGAAGCCTGAGATAGTGCATATGAACCACACCTCAAAGCTACTTCATGCGTTTGATCCGGACGCTGAGGAAAACGGGCCACCCTTTGCCTTTTCATTGCCTCCAGAATATCAGAATTCCTTGGACTTTTCTCTTACTGACAACAGAAATAACACAGCAACTATAACAGCTTTGAGGTCCTTTGACAGAGAAAAGCAGAAGGTGTTTCACCTGCCAATAGTTATAACAGATAGTGGGATTCCAGCTATGAGCTCAACAACCACCCTGACTATAACAGTTGGTGATGAGAACGACAACTGCCATGAGTCTGGCCACAAGGAGGTCTATGTGTACAGCTACAAAGGTAAGTGCTAGCTGGATGTGAGATCAGATTCTGGATATTAGATAAAATTCATGAAATAGCAGAGTTTTACACTTAATTTCTTTCTTGCAATATGTTAATCTGCAGACTAATTTCTTTAATGGTTTACATACTTCAAAACTGCAGCTCCTGTTCTGTAAATACTAAGTAAAGTGGAGTAAGTGAAATATATTTGTTAAACTCAGACCTTAGTGTGTAAAAGATTATCTACCAAAGAACTGTTAGGTGCAAACAGGTATATATTGAACTTGCAGAAAAAGCAGTATTTTTATAAACGCATAAAATCTATTTTCTCTTAATGAGTGTTCACATACAGAAGGCATTTTGCAGTTACATTTTCTGAGTTTGGTATGCCTAAACAACAAAAAAGATACGACCAGATCATACTGTAGAGATGAGAGAATGAAGCATCTAGGCTGGCTCGGCTCCAGATTTGAACCTTAAAAATTTCCCATGTTGCTGAACCTGGACTGTGGATTTCAAAAGTCTCCTTCCCTGGATTTGTTCCTCTTGCTGTTTTAGAAAAATTGATTGGATGTTCCACTTCTGTGCCAGCCCCCAAGGGCCTGGAAAAATCACCAAGACCTGGCCCAGCTTGGTGTCTTCCTGCCCTTTTCATTTTCCCAGTCATTCCTTCTCACCCAGCTGTATCCCATAAGATGATCTCCCGACCTGGCCCAGCTTGGTGTCTTCCTGCCCTTTTCATTTTCCCAGTCATGTCCTTCTCGCCCAGCTGTATCCCATAAGATGATCTCTGTCTTTTGCTGGGTTCCGCTTTGTGTGCTCTTCAAAATAATAGAGTAGCAATGAAACATTTGGACTTAACTCCTGATGTGGTGATTTTTAATTTTTCTTTTGTCTGAGAGATTTTAGAAAGTTGTATTTATGTATGATTCTGGTGTTGTTTTGTGCTATTTCCAGCTTTTCTTCTTTCATGTAGCATCTCCACTGTGCTCACATTACCAGAACTGGCAGAAATCATATGACAGGCTATGCATTGTTTTAAGAATCTTGGATCATAACCATCACTAAATTGAGCAGGAGTCTGAAAATAATAAAAGCAGTAATGAATGTCACAGAATATAAAGTGCACTGAAAAGCAAAAATTAAATGCAGATTTATTATAATTTATCTCAACAGGAAAATGGTCAACAACAGTGCTTGGGGAAGTGTTTGCACCAGATCAGGATGACTGGGACAATAAAACATTTCTCTCTGAAGGAAAACTGCTCAAGTGAGGATTGTATTTATGTCAAAATGAGTAATATTTATGCTTCTGTAATTATTTTCTCACCATGTATTTCTCTGTGTTCAGGATGTGCATAAAGCCAGGGTTATTGAGTGTATTAAGGGATGTACCTTTCAAATGCTCTTTTTTACTTGGTTACTAGGTATTAAGAAATTACTGCATTAAATATTTTTTCCAAGACAATGCAGGATCACACCATGATGTTGATTTTTAGTCCGATGTCATAGTTAATTTACTTTAAAATGTGCATTCTGTAAGCTCCAATTTAAAAATAGACAGAGTCCTAATGCTTGCTTTCAGATGTTAGGGTTGATGGAATACAAATCTGAATTTAAAAGCAAGGAATGGAGTAATTTCATCAAAAGTGGAAGGGAATTTGGTGCTCTCCTTTGATGGCTAAATTAACAATTGCATGTGAAAACCATGACTCAGATTAGTGGAGGTTTTTTTCTGTTAATTGAAATGTTGAATTGGACCCTTAATTCCTACTTAGACATTATTTGTTCATATCATAAAGTGAGATGGTTTATGGCATAACTGTGTGCTGTCTGAAAGGGAAAAATGGATATGAAAATGAATTTTACTCTGTGCTATGACTAAAAGTTTAAAAGCCTGAAGTAGCCCAGAATTAAAGACTGTGTTCATCACCAGCACCTAGGCCTGTTTCCGTGCTAAGAGGTCACTATTCCATAATAATGGTCATGGAATATTTCCATAATTGCTGATTACTGGCCCTTTGAGGTGTCCAATGAAGATGCTGTGAGAGATTTTATATAGACTTACCCTGCTCCAGGCAGAGATGTGAGAACCTGGAATGATCAGTGTGGGTTTGTCACTCCCTTTTACTGACATCAGAGGCTTGCCCATGATGACTGTGCTGAACCACCTGGTTCAACTGCACAAATTCAAACTGCAAGTTCAAATTGCTTTTGTTCAAATCTGGGAAAGGCTGAGTGGCAGGAACACCTCTTTACAAGATCTGCAGATTGTAATTTCTCAGTTAAGGTGGCTGAGGTGCCTTCTTGAGGTTGTTGCATAATTCCCTTAAGTTTTGGCCCTATAACCTTTGCAGTAACATTTAAGGCCTTCTGAGTGGTGTTCATGAGTAAAGAAAATCCTCAACTTTGATTTGTTAAGATTTCCTAATTGAAGGTTTCTGTCTAGATCTTTCAGACTAAATCAGAGGACTGGGTCTTTGCTGATGGTGGATAACACTCCTCCGGGAATATACAACTTAAGAGTTAGAGTTTCTGATGGAGTTTGTCCTGATGTTATATCTACAGTACAAATCCATGTCAGAGACCTGGAAAATGAAGCCATACAAAACTCAGCCACTGTGCGTTTCTCAGGTTGGTTTTATTTGCTGATGAGAGTTTAGATCAGCTGCTTCTCTAACTGAATGTTTATGTGGTGTAGCTATTATTATATCAATACTTGATTTGCTTATCACTGTATGCTAGTTTCTGGTATGCTTCCATATTGTTAAATATGAAATAAATTGAGAAATTAACCTGTGAACTCCCAGGTATTCAGGTTTATCTATTTTTGAATCCCTTGACCAGGTGTCACAGCAGAGGAGTTCGTAAGGAGAGATGAACATGGCAAAACAAGACATGGCGAGTTCAAGGAGTTCCTTGCAAAACTGTTACCTGCAAAGCTGAGTGATGTGATTGTCTTCAGTGTGATGGGCAGGGATGGAAAACAGACAGATGTGAGATTTGCAGTTCGTGCTGGCTCAGCCTATTACAGACCTGAGAAGCTGCATGCGGAGATGGCAGCCTTCAAAACTGAGGTTGGTTCTCACCTGTGGAACTCGGCCAAACACTGAGTTTGCAGGGTGTGCATCCCAAACCTCAGTGGAAAACGACATTGCATCTAGAGAGAAGGGTTTTATTGCTTCACTCATGAGAAAAACAAGTGTTTAATTCAAGCTTTCTCCCTTCTTTTTAGTGCCATACATACTGGTATGGTGTGTTTGTACTAACTTCTGGTTCAATGAATAGTCACTGGAGAGCTGCAGAAAAATGGGTCTGCAATGCTGCCATGGGGTAGATACTGTTTTCTCCAGTCAGTGTTTCATTGTGTCATCCCCAAATCCCCACATCAGCTTGTTTAGACACTTAGAGTGGAGGCTTGATGGCACCCTCACAGAAATTCTGCAGTATAACGAGGTGACACTTGCAACAGGTAAGTGAGATGGAGACAACCAGTCCTGTGGTTGCATTTATCTCACCAAAGGACGGCTTCAAATACAAAGTGACACCATCCATCCCCCAACGTCTTTTACTGTTGTCAAAGAAAATTTTTTTTGATGGAAGATGTTTTCCTCCCCTTCTTGGTGTTCCCTAGCTGTCCTGCTTCCTGACTCAGTTACAGACACAGTCTGTCTTGGCCACAGCTGGATTTTTCTGTCGCCCTGCACAAAGGCAAAGTGACACTGCTCAGCTTTTCACTTGCCCTGGCCATATGTGGGTTTAATACATGGTACATCATATGGATGATTTTTCCAAAGAGAAATCAGCACTTTCCATTTGTGTGAGTATGGTGGAGTCTGCCTGAGTCTGGGAACCAAACAGGGCTGTCTTAACTTACTACCTGCCTCCTTCTTGGTGTATCTTGAACGGCTCCGTGGATTATGAGAGTCTTCAGAGTGACCAAATAGGAAATGCCAGAGACAGAGAGTATTCATGAAGGGTAATGACTGCTTCTTTTGCATATTTATTGAATTACTGCTACAATAAGATAGAAAATCCTATCGATTTCAAATATTCTCTGCCATAATACATGACACCTGAATTCATCAAAGTGGTAACAAGGGGATTGCTTCACGTATTGTAATGAAAAAATATGTTTTTCTTAATTATATACCACCTTTCTATATTTAATGAATAGTTCTAGTGAGTAATCACCAATAGTTTACAGAAAACCAATCATAGCTGGAGAATTCCTCCAGTAGTTTTCTATGTGTATAACTATAAATATAGAAAATAAGTAATTAGCACTGGAATTATTCATTGAATTTCTACATAAATAATATGTTTGCATTACCTCCTGGGGATATAGTTTTACAACAGCAATTTTTATTTAGCAGAAAAATAATCCATCCTAATACTTTAAAGGAGCCAAGGTTGTTTTTATACAGTTTTTCAATGACAGTATTACACAGATGTCTAAATATGCATTACAGACTCTCCATTGATGGTGATAAACGTGGGCAGCAGACACAGACCTGCATTGACAGGATGCATCATGCCATTGCAAAGTATACTCTGTGCCTGTGGGGGCAGGGCATCAATACATGGTATGATATTTGAGAATACAGAGGCAAAGGATTATAAAGATCAAAGTTCTTACAGTGGTGAACTGAGATGACTACACAAATGAGAAAAAATAGAAGCACTTGAGTATTTGTGTGTTTTGATCTTTTCAAAGCTTATTTTTAAGATATTTGCCATATGTTTTACCACTTGGAAAAAGCCCTCCATATTAAATACAAAAAGCTCTAGTGTTGTTAGTTTTACATTTGTATACCTTGTTCATTTGTGTACCACTGTGAGAGTAGTGAGGTCTTTTTGCCTCACTCACCCAAACTCGGGTTGGGGTACTAAATACACATTTCAGTGTATTTGAATCACCAAATACAGATCAAATGCTGAAGCTTTATAACAGACACCTGTGCAAAATCCCCAAATAAGTGGAAAGAACAAACTGTGATAATTTAGGAGTGCAGGCTGAAGGACAAAAAGCCAGGACTAATGGTAGCTCTGTTCTGGCGTCACACTGTGAGCAGCTCCCTTCCCTCCCTCTCTGCCAGTGCTTCCTTGCTCCATTTGGAATGGAAGTTGTGATCTCAGAGTCCCCATGCCTACATTACCAGAGCTGTGGTTACACTGAGCCTCTTTTTATTCGGTACTTGGGCTTTCAGGTGCAAGCCCAACTAACAGTAAAAACAGTGCACTAGCAAAGATTAATGTAGCATAGAATACAGTATCCAGTATGATGAACTGTGTTTTGTTGCAGACAGCTTGACATGAAATGTAAATTTCTGGGGCAAAAATCATTAGACTGAATCCAAGTTGCTACAAAGTTGTCTTGTCAGGTCACTGTCTGTGGACATGATTACTGAAAGCAGCTCAGCCCTGCATTTTGCTGTGTCTGTGTCCTTTTGTGTGAGAGAATGTAAGGAATAATATCTGGGTGTTACTGCTGAGGAAGGATTTATCCTGGTTTGAGCTGAAACACTCCTGTTGCTATTGAAGGGCAGAAACGTGTGGTGCAGATGCTGCAGCTCTGAGGAGTGTCACAGCTCTCAGAGCTTTGGTCCTTGGAAATAATATCATTAGACGAGTACAGATTCAACATGTTCACACTCAATCATGTCAATGATCAAGTTTATAGGAAATGCTGCTGCTGTAATTTTTAAATGAAATGTTTCCTGAATTTTTCAAATTATTTTTCTTGCCCATATAATCAGGGATGTTACTAAGTAATGTTCAAGAAACTAAACCCTGTGTTAAGTCTCTGATTCAGCTTTTCAGAATTGAGGTGAAAGCCTTCATTAGGATAACAGTGCTGCCGTCTTTTCTCTTAGATGCAGTCAGCTCTGCGACTGAACGTTTCCCAGATCGATGTTGACGAGTGCAGGAGTGCCAACTGCAGTGAGGGCTGTACAAACCACCTCAGCGTGAGTGACATCCCCACAGTGATGGACACGGGGAGCGTGTCCTTCGTGTCCCTGAGCACCTCCAGCCACGGGCTCTGCGCCTGCTCTGCCCGCGAGCGCCTGCACCAGCCCTGCTCCTCCTACGCCCGGAGCCCCTGCCTCAACGGGGGCCTTTGTGTCGACACTCTGAACGGCTACAGGTGAGCAAACCTGCTCTGCACGTTATTTCTGCCCTCTGATTTTAAGGTGTTGAGTGATGCTTACAAGGTACCTGCCTGAAATAACCATAAATGTACTTCTGACTGGAGGAGAAACAGGAAAACCCCACAGGTGCACTGGGGTGTAAATCTAACAGCAGCAGGGGCTTCCTGATGGCCTCAATGGGGCTGTGGTCCCAAAAAGTGCATGAGTAACAAAGAAAACCCTGGGGAACACAGAATTAACACTTGTCATTTGTTAAGAGCACCTAATTCATGATGAAGGTATGTGCTTTGTTTTTTTTTCTCTTTTCCAGCAGAGCAATAATAAAAGTGAGTATCAATGTAGCAGCAGGGATGTAGGAGTGAAATATAGTTCAAACAATGGGTAATAAAGAGCCTGAAAAGCATTGGATTGTAAACTTGCTTTATTATAGCATCACCTGGCATGCAGCAGTATTCCCTTAGTGAAATTAATTCCAGCTAGGAATTAACCTTCCTGAGTTTACTCTGTAATAAATTGATGTTTGATGTTTTGTGTTATTTAGAAAAAAAGTTCTTTTTTCGCAAAAACTTGGCCTCAAAAATACTTTTTTTTTTGAGGGAGTTAGTATAAGGAACAAAATTACTTTGTATTCTTAGAGCATTCTAATAATTGCCAAACACACCTAAGATTCTGGTAAAATCTTTGTTTTGCTGATTTCTTAACTCTGATTTAAGTTCTGCATTTGCTGCATGCAAAACCAAAAAATAAGCTGAACATGGGGGAATTTTGACTATTTCTTTTGTTTATGGTCTTTCAGATGTCTTTGTCCTGCTTCCTTTCATGGACCAGACTGCCAGCAGACTAAGCACAGTTTCCATGGAAATGGTTATGCATGGTTTCGTCCCATCAGACCTTGTTTTGAAAGCTCACTCTCTCTAGAGTTTATTACTGTGGTTCCAGATGGACTTTTACTATATAGTGGCCCTTTATCAAATCCAGAACCTGGGAGTACAGAAAACTTCATTGCAATAGGTACTTCTGCAAAAGGGTGTGGAAAAATTAAATGTCTTTTGGGAATGGATTGTTTGTGACCAGTGTAACAATTAGACTATGGATTCTGTCTTTCCACTTAATGAGGTGGTGGAAAAATATTTTGAAGCATTTCCTAACAAGTCTTTCTCCTTTGATGTCTATTTTTGTAGCCTGCACCTCTGGCTTTGGGCTCATCACAGAGTTGTAGAAATGAAGGGGAAAGCAAAACAGATTGATATATATAAAAAAAATAACCTGCCTAGAAAAACTGTAGTGCTATAAAGGAATTTTGGTGCTTTGAAGATAGGTATTACATGAGTAGTGCAGTCTTAGTAGCATGTCATTCTTATCTAGTTTGGTGAGAAAAGAAATCCACTTAAACTCTCTTTGGTCTTGGGGTAATTTTGTAGATTTTTTAAAAATGGCAATGATGTGATGGATTAATTCAGCCCCACCTGCCATTGTGGGAAGATTCATCTACAAGTAGAACTCAATGCTTTATGTTGACACATTTTTAAAAGGTTACTGCTGCTTATTTTTTGTGAATTAACACACAAGATGAACAGTATGGTTGGCATTTTATGTTCTCCTGATTAATTGAAAGGTAATGTGATTGAGTAGTTAATAATTTACCTCTTTTTTGCTTTGCAGTTACTTGTAAATTTGAGTAGAAGATGGGAAAGAAGAAACCTGCATATATTAATTGTTTTAGAGCATCATAAAATTGCAGATTGCTTCTCAGAAATTAGTTTCAGTGTTTTGACAGAGAAGTGGAATAATCTAAAGTGTATAAGTAAATAATATACTGAATGAGTACTTCTGCTTAATAGAAGACAGAGGGTATAATTCTAGTTATTTCTGTAGTGACCCCCCTGTATGTGACTAGCAATAACCATTAAATCAGTATAGTCACTAACTGCTGAGATACCAAAAGTGACATTTTGTAGCTGAATTTAATTTCTGGTTCATGTTGTATTAGAACTCTCTAGTGGTGTTCCTGTGCTGAAGATGAGCCATGGCGCAGGTTCTGTGGTGCTGCAGTTTCCAAGTCATCTGAATGTAGCAGACAAGAAGTGGCATCGACTGGAAGTCAGAACCAATGGTCAGGTCAGTTATTGTTTTGGTTTTTTTTTTTCACATCAGGCTATTAATATTTCTAAAAATATTTCCCTGTGCAGATACAGGAGGATAGAAAGAACAGCCTTTCAATAAACAACAGACAATAGGTATTGTCCTCACTGCTCATGTAGATTTGATGAGTAATAGAAATTTTGGGACAACCTCATTGTGAATTCCACATCCAGTGATGTTGTAATCCATATTCTGTGATCTTTACCTTTTCTATGCTCTGCTGCAGCACATGTAGAATATGGCCACTGGAATCCATTACTTATGAACAAAAAAGCACGTATTTATTTACTTGCAAATGCAGTTACAGGTCTTGTGTAAGTGGTTAAAATATTCAAAAGCACAAATAAAGTTGAGAAGTCCCTACTTTTGCTGAATGGCTCCATTTTGGCCCTACTGGTTTTTGAAAGATGAACAGAACAGGGAACACCCAGCCCATTTTGGATGATGTGCAGGAAGTAGAAGCTGCGGCTGTGGGGCTGTGCAGCAGGGCCAGCTCAGAGTGTGTGCTGTGTGCAGGCTGTCCGCTTCACTCTGGATCAGTGCAGCGCCGCCGCGCTCTCCGAGATCGAAGGCGTTGGCCGCTGGCTGTCCACCGAAGATCGCACCAACTGCGAAGTCCCGGGGTCTGTGCCACGGAGAGCAAGGTACATTCCTGGAGGTTCCCTGACAGGCACTTCATTCTAAGGTCTGTGAACATTTGACTGTTAGACTGAAGCAGAGTTATTGATGGCTAGGAGCATAAAAAGCATTTCCTCTTTTCTCAGACCTTCTAGACCAAGCCTGGACCTCAAAGAACTAAACAAATTTTAAGGAACCAGTCTTCCACTGAGTAGTGTTGCAGTACTAATTGACAACTCCAAAACTCAGTGGCTATTATTGGAGTTTTTGTGGGCCCTGTGTACCATCCTCCACCCACAAGATTTCTCTCTGTTTATCTGTGATCCTACTCCTTAAAACCTCACGAATTTAGGCCAGTTGACATCACAGTCCTGGGTGCAGTTGGTGCCCCACAGTGCAGGATGGACAAGGAGCAGCTGGGTACAGTCCAGAGAAGAGCAATGACTAATCAGCTCACCCTGAGAGTAAGAATCAAGAATGAAGGAATTGAGGTCAGTTAACAGAAAGAAGGGAAAACTAAGGAGAGAGATAAGTCTCAGTGTGTACAAAAGAATGGTACAAAGAGGATTTAGACAATCTCTTCTCTACAGGGTCTAAAGTTACAGTGAGGAATATTCAGGTTATGTTTTAGGGAAACCTTTGTACTAACAAAGATACTTCAGCTGTGGAATAGATAGTCCAAGCAAGTATTCTGATGAGCATTGGGATTAATCCTTGTCCACAGCTGCCTGGAGCTCTCCTGGTCATGAAAGGAGCACAAAGAAAGGGAAAAATATAAGGACAAATGAAAACAAAAGAAATGAATTGATAACTCTGGGAAAAAGAAAGCATGAGGACTAAAATGCATGGAGTTCTTTGGCTTGGAGAGATGATTGGGAGATAGTGCAGAGCTTGGACATGTTTACCATGGCCTTTCAGACCACATGGACCCAACTTTTAGATTTCTGAGTTTTGCCATACACAGAACAGCCTTTTTTGTAGTATTCCTACAGCATAGCATGTCTGTGCACACACACAGAGCACTTGAAGGAGAATATGGTGTCTAGAATACCACAGCTGTTTCTGACTTGGATGCAAACATACCCAAAATGTAATAGTGTCCCACAGTTAAACATTCAGCAGTTTTCACTGTCATGTTTTAAAAAATATCCTTTATTTTAAAGGGCTTTATTTCAGAGAGGGAAAATTAAGTAGTTGCATTCTACTGTTATATTTGGAAAAGCAGTGTATTTATTTATTTATACATCTATGTTTGAAGGTAGATGCACATTATTTTTATTATTGATATGATTTTTCAAGGTATTTGAATGTGAACCATGTTCTCCAGCTGGGTGGTGTGAAAGAGTCCATACCATACTCCTACCCACAATTGCTACACAAACATTTTTCTGGCTGCTTGCGCAATTTCATCTTGGATACTCAGGTAAGAGCAGAGTAATGTTTGCTTTAGCAGAGAAGAAAACTTCTTTATTCAACTTTTGGGAGATTAATATTATACATGAAACTTCTGCTTCCATCAATGTATTCAATGCTCACATGCATCAGGGTAAAATATAAGAAAATTCTGGGTTTTTCTGTGATAATTAGAATAAGTACCTTGAAAAGATAGAAGGAGATGTATTAGTGAGGCAGAAACTATGTTTGCTTATCCCCTGTTTCATGCAGCTGTTTTCCAAGCTTCTTTGTGCATTCAGGGAACTTCTGAATGGCAATTGTATAACGGTATATTTATGCCAGCTGTCTGCTTTGTTAGGAAGTATTAGGGGTTTTTTGTTTTTGTAGTCAGTTGACTTTATTCAAAGGCAAAATATGCTCTTGATAAAATCAGCTGAAGTCTGAATGTCAAAAAGCAAACATAGTAACTTAAGCAATGCAGATGAGGAACACACAGTGAAGTGCTATTTCTGTTTAAAAATGAAATATGTTTCTCAAATAATATTTTTGTGTCATGAACTGTCTCTTGAAGGTATACGACCTTCAGTCTCCTGCAGAGTCCCTGAACAGCTTCCCTGGCTGCACCCTGACGGATGGGAGCTGTGAGACCATGGGATCTTCCTCCTGTGGTGCCCATGGGCAGTGCCTTGGGGACTGGGGCTCGTTTGCATGTCACTGTTTGCCAGGCTACCACGGCTATCGATGTGATAAAGGTGAACCCTTCTTTTCTGTTTCATTTGTGTAGGCTGCTAAATTTTACACTACAGGAAACTTCAAATATTTGCAGGTAATGATTGTTGAGGTGGTTTTATATTACATTATGTAAAGTCATGTTGCAGTGTCATTGCCTGCAATTGTTAACAATTTCTTTTCTAATTCCCTTTGAGAAATTGCTTTCTCAGTACAGGATCATTTCTTTAATCCTGAGGGTGTTTGTGCAATGACTGTATGATGACATGGCTGCATGACAAAGAAATTGTGAAAAAAGTATTTCATTTTATTACAGTTGTTTGATTTGCATCTGTTTACACTTTCAGAAATATCTAATACCTAAAAAGTATGAGTGTGCCAGTACCACTTTCTGTGAAGAATTAGAACCATGCAACTGGAATTAGAAATCATTGCTCCGTTGGTGTCAGGAAGAGACTCTGCTAACTTAAGGAGCTATGCTTTGGGAATAGTAGGATTTTTAGCTGTCATGGAGGCAAAGTTTGCAGCAGAATGACAATTATAAAATAGCAGGTTATGAAATTTGATTGTGGTACTTGATCCGCAGTCTCTTGTCTTGGTCAAAGGTGCTGCTTCCCTGCTGTCACCCCATGTGAGCATTGTAAGGAGGAGCATTAGCAGGATCAAGCTGGGTGGGAGAACACCTCTTTACAGAGGAAAATGAAGTATGAGAGTGACTGTAGGAGCTGTGGAAATAAGTACAGGAGTATGTCCCAAAGGACAAATTGTCTCACAGATCCATACTGTGCATCGCAACTATTTCCTTTTCCTTTCAACTCTTACTATGACATTAAGGGCAATAACAACATTTCCCTCTCCTCAGGAGATGGTTTAAAGGTTTCTCTCCCTTGCAGTGGCCAAGGAGTACAGGTTTGAGGCAGGCAGCCACATCCGCTACCAGCTGCCGGTCAGCGTGTCTGCGCGCAGGACGCGGCTGCAGGCCCTGGTGCGCACGCGGCAGCCCGACGGCGTCATCGCCACCGTGCTGTCCCGGGCCAGGGACGAGCACATCACCCTGCAGGTGAGGGCACCCACTCACAGACAGAGACACCAGGGCCACACACAGCTCTGAGAAACACTCGCTCAAGAGATGGAAACAGAACAAAAGCCTTACGCTGAGCACCAAGAGTCTGGAATTTGTTTTATGGGTAGATATATCTGATCCTTGAGATATTGACCACTCAGATCTGGTATGCCATTGGGTTTCGATGCCAGTTGCAGAGAAATAAGGTTCTATACAGAATAGGGTGTGTACCTGGTGTCCTTTTGAACCATGTGGCCAGTTCTGTGTAGTTCAGACTCGCTAAGCAAGGTGCCTGTGGCAGTTCTGATGATGTCAGGCTCTCAGAGTGACAACCTTCTCATTTTATACACACCACTGAACAAGTCACCTCTTCAGCCATGTTGGTTTGAGCTGGCACTGTAGCTGTGATACACCAGACTCTCAACTATTAGAAGAACCCCATAAATTTCTGCAAGAGAAATCAGGATAAAATTACTCCTAAGGTGACTTAGATACTACTGTGAGTATATTGCTGCCACATCTAGGTGGCCTAATTCAGTAGCACCTGTAGTATTTTTATATTACTTCTAAATTTGCAGTGTAAATATACCCTAAATTTAAACAAATGTTTTAAGATTGAGGTTACAGATCAATACAAAATGCCAGGCAATGACTTTTCTTTCTTGCTATCTGTTAATTATCCACAAGGTTGTTCAGGGACTCTTAGCGGTCTCATACAATCTGGGTGATGGAAACTATTCTGTAAGCCTTCCCTCCTACCACATTGATAACGGTGAATGGCATCACATCACACTGGAGAGAAATGAAAATGAATTTACTCTTCGCCTTTATGAAGGAGGTGGGAAGAGAGAGATTACTAAAGCAGCAGGAATATACAAAGAGATTGTCATTGACCCCAGCAGCTTGGTCCTTGGAAACACCTACCCATTCAGCCAAAACAGGAGTTTTCAAGGTAGGAATTCTTCATCTCACTGTTCATAATATGGATCTGTAAAAATAAAAAAATTAGTGCAGGAAACTTTCTTGTTTATGTAGAGCCCAAAGTACACAAATTGCCTGCATGATGCTTTGAAACAGGGATGGATAAGCTGTTCTGACCAGAAGGTACAGCAGGGAATTGTCTGCAAATACACTTGGACCTGGAACAATGATGGTCACCTCTTGCCTTGGCTGCAGAGAGTTGGTACCTGGAGATCCAGAAGCTTCTTCCAGATAGATTGTGCATGGCTCCCTGCCTTGGATAGGCAGAGCTGGTTCAGTGCATGGTTCTGTCCAGTCCATTTGGCAGCTCTCCTTCCCTCCCAAACACATCTGTTTCTATGGTAAAAGGAATTTTTTCCCATTTTATATGTGCATTGCATAACACCCACCAAAACCTGGTTTATTACCTCAGTATTACTGGATTTTACACTCATTAACTAAAGCATTAACTAAAATTAGAAATGGTTTATTGAATTAGAGCTAAAAATCTGAATTTTTAGCAACTGAGTGGATAAGGTCACAGTGTGTGTTAAAAGCAAATCAGTTTCCAGCCTGGAAATTGAGTAGTTCCACAAAGGAAGTTTGGGATATCCATGGCAGCTCTTTACTCTGAGCTCAGCTGGAAATTTGGCCTTTGCCTAAACCCACAGTGTAAGTAAAGCAAATCAGCTTTTACTGCTAAGTAACACACATCACTGCTGGTTAAACCTGCCTGGTGTCTGTAGGTCACCTCTCTCCCATGCCCTTCACCTCTTTAACTAGGTCCCAGTAAATCCATTCAAAGCAAGCTGGTCATCTTTTCACCACACAGAAGTACTTCAGTGAGTAATACAAAAGTGCCTGGAGAGAAAATAAATAGAGTAATAATTTACCACTTAAGTGTATCACAAATTGTTTAGAAAAAGATTGTTTTCTATTGCTTTACTAGAAGTATTCCAATAAATAAAGTTTATGATATGAATTAGGGAGCATATTTTGAATTTTTTATTTATGGGAGTAGTAGTGTTTGTTTTTAAGTAAATAAAGAAGTCAAATGGTTGCATGAAGATCATTTTAATTAGGACTATTAATGTTGCTGCTAAGAAGCTGAAGCTTTAAGGACTTCAAAGTCATAAAATGTACTTAATTAATCAAAGTATATGTTTTCATGATGAGGCATCTCGTGCATACAAAATTAATGTCACACATCTTCAGTACAAATTTTCTATCCCTGATTGAAGACTCTCTCACCATTATTTGTGGTTTGCTCTTCATACTATAAAGGTAAACCATAAGCTACCATTTACAATCAGCCAAACAATTTTTACTGGTACATTGAAGAATAGAACAGGTTATCCATATGTAACAGATTCTCCACAATATTTGGACTTCTCTATGGAAATCACAGTGGAGGGGAACATATTCCACTGACTACCTTAGGGGGAATAGCGGCCCTGTCATGGTTTAACCCCAGCCCTTCCCCAGCCCTTCCCCAGCCCCTCAAAGCCTCTCACTCTCTCCCCAGCAGAGGGATCAGAGAGGGATTCATGAGGGTAAAAGCTGGAAAAGCCCTGGGTTGAGATGAAGACAGTTGAATAGGGAAAGCAAAAGCCATGCACACAAGCACAGCAAACATGGAATGAATTCCCTGCTCCCCATGGGCAGGCAGGTGTTCTCACCTCAGGAGAGCAGGGCAACGGGAACCTGGGATGGCAAACACCTTCTCTCCAAACATCTCACTTCCTCCTCCTTCCCCTCACTGCAAATCCTGAGCATGATCCCACATGGTCTGGAGCATCCCCTGGGTCAGCTGGGGTCCCCTGTCCTGGCTGTGTCCCTTCCAAGGCTCCCAGGCAGCCCCAGCCCCTCTCCAGCATGGCCCCACAAAAAGCAGGAAAGGCGTGGGCTCTGTGTGAGCCCTGCTCAGCAATGACAGAAACAGCTCCATGTTATCAGCCCTGTGTTCAGCACAGATCCAAACACAGCCCCTGAAAAGAGAATTAAGTCTATCCCAGCCAAAACCAGTATAGACCTGCAGCAGCACTTGATTCTCGTGGAAACCACTGGGAATCTTGATCTAAAACTTCAGCAAATTCAGTTCAAAAATGAAGGACAATGCTATGAGATTTTAAGTGAATTCAGTCCTGGATTTAAACTTTGATAGCCTGTGTCCTTTGTTAAGCACAAACTGCCAAATCTTATAACTGCTTCAAATGATTCTTGCTGAATAGTTTTTAAAACTGTTTTTTTGTGCCTGCTGTAGGATGTATGAAGGATGTCAGATTTAACAATTACAGAATCCCTCTGGACACTCATGGGAAGGAGCTGGTGTCAGTACTGAGTGCCCAAGGCATCAAAGAAGGCTGTTCTTCAGAGGCCTGTAGGAATAACCCTTGCAACCAGGAATTTATTTGTATTGATTTGTGGATGATGCATGAATGCAGGTAATTGGTGGAAATAGAAGCACAAAACCCTTCAGAATGAGGTGGGAAAGGGTGGATGTTGAAGTGTTCAGCTTGAAGGCTGGCACTGGGCAATCTCATCAAATCACTGGAACCACAGTGGCACACAAAGATGAACACCTGCACAGGGAGCAGGTTATTGTGTCCTTAGAGACACCACCACAGCTGATATAAATCAACTTGGCTCCAGGGATTGTGGAGCAAGTTCAGCTGCCTGTCTAATGGAAAACATTTAAAGAGCAATAGCAAATCCAGAATGCTTGTAAACCCTGGAACCAGCACAGGAGGGTGTGTGAGCTGGAGTGGCACAGTTCCCTGGCTGTACTGTGAAGCTTGTGCTGTGCAGTGTCAATGCTTTCTCTTGTGAGGGTCTGATTTCTTGCACTGCCCCAGGTTGTTGCCTCTGTTCCCTTCCATCCTCCTCAAGCTGCTTTAGAAACACCACTCTGCTGAGCTCAGATTCCTGTGCTTGTGGCTGGGGTCAGGACAACACTAATTCCTGCTGGTTGTGGTGTGCAAATGAACACTTTATTTACACATACCTTAATATTTGCACACTCTCCTAACTGGCACTGTCCACATAAATGGAGTTTCTAACTCTGGAAACTCAAAGAACATAGCGCAGCTTGTCCTGGCTAGCCAGAACTGCAGAAGGCAACCCAACTGGTCGTCACAAGGATAATCTTGCAGAAGGCAGTGGAAATACCTGAGTTCTGAAAGCCCCAGACATACGGGTCTGAAATTGTGGAGCTATGCTATGGCTGCCTCGGGACATGTCATGATTTCACATAACTTATTCCCAGTAACTGCTTCGGAAACCGTGCAAAAAGTGTCACCAAAGTGTGTTTTAAAATCTTCAGTGCTGCCTGTCACGGCTGTTTTCTCCCAGCCTAACGGTGCCATTCTGCCCTGGTGTGTGCAGCTGCCCCGCAGGACACATGATCCTGGAGAACGCCTCAGGCCGGCAGTGCGTGCACACGGCGTGCGCCGAGCGGCCCTGCAACTACGGCACCTGCGTGTCCCTGTCCCCCAGCAGCTTCCAGTGCCACTGCCCCGACGGCTACACCGGGCGCCACTGCGAGATCACCCTGGCCATCTTCCACAAGGACACGGGCCTCAGCTTCACCTCCCTCTTCGCCATCTGCGTCTGCTTCCTGGCACTCCTAGGTAGCTACGGCAACTACGTCTTGTATTACCTGTGGTGAGCGCATGTGTCCACCTGTCCTGAGCAGCCATCGCCTCATCTCCTGCCGAAAGCTCCCGAGGGAGACCCAGCTCTGCCTTCGTTCCTTTGCCATCACTGATTTCCCACCCCTCTGTGCATCCATCGCTAAGTGAATCAACATGTGTGAGCTATGGAAGGTCTCTGCAGTTTTGTTTTCTTCACATTTTCATGTCATTGTGAGGAACTGTTCAGATGCATAACTGGAAGCAAAAGCAATTTAACAGCAAGAGTTGAAATTGCTACCAGATAAGCATTGTTCAAAATACTGCTGAGTATGAAACAGATTTTTCAGTCTAGGAGAAACTTCCTGGCTGATAGGAATACACTGGTCAGGCAGGAGGAGACTTTGCATCTTGCCAGTTGTATCCCAGCTCCTAAGCAGCTGATTATGTCTTCCTCAGCCCTTAGGTATTGGATCTCAAGAGGAAAACCAGAAGGATGTTACTAGTGAGGAAGGATCACATCTTGGAGTCTTTTTTGTTTATTCAAATGTTATGGAAGTTTGCCTAAGTAAAGACATAGGATTTTTCTCCTGGATGTTTGTGTTAAGGCAGTTTTGTTCAGAAGTTGTAGTAAGAGTATGGAAATACCATAGTTTTCCCCAACTCTGCTAGATACTATGTTTGCCATGCAAATATGAGCAGCAAATTCTTGGGAAGCTAAGTGGTATCACAGCTCTTGGAATCCCAGACAGCCGAGGTTGATAGTAGATCTTTATGTTAGAGGAGTGCAGGGCATGACCTCTTTGTACCCCAGTTTCAGTCCCAAGGTCATTTAGATGCTGCTCCACAGAACTGCTGCCATGTAGATATTCTGTAAGAGATTCTAGTGTATTTAGTTCACTGCACTGCTAATTTATGGTACTCAATGCTTTGAGGTCTTACTCTGAGCTTTTATCGATTTTTATAGAGTTGGTAGCACAGTGATACACAAGTTTCTATTTACAGAATGTTCAGTATCTGATGTTGAAGCTTGTCAGTTGTGTAAATGCACTTCAGCATTTAAGAAAAATGTTAAATTAATGAATGCTAAGGCAAAATGTGCCTCATTCTTGTTTTCTAGTAAAACATCTAAAAGTAATTTCCTCTTCTGTCTTGTGTCTTCTTGTGTTTCATTTGTGTGTAATTGTGTCTGTTACTGTCAACATGTTATTTCTTCTTTGTCCCCCTCTGTAATGCATTTTCTGTGACAAAGTTCAACACTACACAGGACAGAGACAGGTCAGAGACACCACTTGCTCTTTAACCAACTTCGAGCTGGGCTTTAAAGGGTGTTGCAAAATGCTCTTTAAAGGCTTCTTCTGTGTTTGATGTTCACCACACTGGACAGTGCAAAGCCCAGACATTTGCTGGGAAGCCCAGAGTGCAGGTGTGCTGGCCCTGCTGTGCCCTGGGGTTCACTGGTGCCTGCATCACCTGAGCTCTGCTCCTGTCCCCACAGCTCTGCTCAGCGCCGCCTTCCTCTGGGCTCACTGGAAGACGCGCAAGGGTCTGCACGGAGGCGTTTACCACGGGTCTGCTCATCCTGAGGATCTGGAGGACATCAGGGAAAACATCCTCAACTACAATGAAGAAGGGGGTGGGGAGCAAGATGAAGTAAGGATCGCTGTTATGTTACAATTAAGAGGGGACTGGTGCCTCACCATGCTAAGGAAAATGCATTTTGTGCTTTGTCCTCAGTCTTCGTTCTGCTGATTCAGCCCTGCAATTGGCAAATGAATTATTTGGATGAGGGTGCATGTTTCCTAAGCTCAGATAAGTGCCTATACATTTTTAATTTGTCTTAAAGCCAGTGGTCCTGAGTGCATGTTGATAGGAGCCTGTAGGGCGAATTTAGCAGTAGGGAACAGCTGCTGGGTTTGGTTTTGGGGCTCAGGAGACACTGAGGTTCTCAGGGCTCTTTTCTGCTGGAGCTCCAAGGGCTTGGAAGAGCCTGGTGTGACTATTGCTTATGGCCAGGCTTTTCCAGACACTGCTCCCAACAGCAGGTGTTCACACCTCCCTTGTTGGGAAGCAGAGGTGCTGAATTGGCTCCTCTGAGACCCTGGAGCATGTGGTGGTTGTGGAAGAACCCTTCGGCATTTTTGTGTTTTGGAGATAAATACACCACTGAACACAAGCTGTTTATACTTAGAGTAGAGCAGATTATACCCAAAGCAGGTATTAACATTCCTGCTGGCTGTTCTAAGATTTTCATGTGTCAGTGAAAGGCAGAGCTTTGAAGGAAAACAGTGAATGTTATAAACAAGTACCCTTATTAGATTATTTATTGACCTATAGATGCTTTCTATGTTTATAAAAGGTAAGAAATGTCATTGCTAACTGCTCATTTCATGGATTCAAGGAGTGGTGTGACTCTGCAGAGGTAATAATAGTCATAGTACCAGTGTGAAGGGCAAAAAAAGCCAGTGATTTAAAAATATTCTTACTTGTAGAATATCCTTGTTTTCTTGGTGAATTAGTGGGAACGTAATAAACACAGACATTTCCCATGTGATAACATAGACAGCTATAAATCCTGTTTTTCTTAATCAGATTAACTTCCTCTGCAATATTTTGCAATTTTACACCCAGAAGGTCTCTTTGAGGAAATCTACAGTTACTGTATGACATGTTTAATTACTTTTGGAGAGTTCTTAAAATGCATTCCTTATTTTAAGCAGTGGAACCATATTAGTGACTTGATGATCTCCATCTGAGGTTCTAACTCTGCCTGAAGAAACAGTGCTTGGAGTGAAACCTCTCTGGGTTCTGTGTACTCTTCCTAAATTACTCAGATTTAATAGTTGCTGGGATTGCAGCTGAAACTTTTTAGGCTAAAGCCTAGTTGTTTTTCTAGATTTGAAAAACCCAAACAAACAAACCAGTGCCCAAAATACCTAGAATTACACCACCTTAGTTGTGTTCTAATGTTACCTCAACAAAAGCACCATGAGGCTGCTTGGATAAGAGCTTCATTTTTGTAGTGTTTGTGGATAGTAGGGCTATGAGGACAAGGGGTTGTCATATGAAGGAGTTTCTGCATCTGAAATAAAAATTTCCCCCAGAGAAATTAGGAGCTCATAAGAATTGCAGGAGGTCAGTGCATTGTTGATTATACACTGAACTCAGCTGACCACCAGATGTTGTTAAAAGCCAGCTCTGGACCCAGAGGCAGGGCTTGAGTTGAGGGCTTGGCTGGATGGCCAGCCAAGAAGGGTTTATTATCAGAAGAAATGTGTTATTTTAATGAACAATTAGTAGCAGTGAAGGATGCTTTTATCATCACCCAGTTCAGTGAAGGGATGATCCTCAAGTCTGTATTGGAACAACTCCCATATAACTTGTGCACAATGAAAAGTTGCTCCATGTCACGGATTCTCCTGGTCTCCCTGCTCAGAGTGGGGCTGGACTGGGGCTTGCACTAACTTAGGACGTGCCTAAGGCAGGGATCTGGGCTGCAGGTCTCGGTGCTCATCACCAGCACTCCTAAATCTCTGGAGGAATGGGAATAAGCAGGTCCCAAACCCCATCCTGCCACTTAGGCAGCTTCTTGATTGCAGGTGGGGGGAATTTAAATTGTTCTCAGCCTCCGGGGGAAATTCAGCAAAGCTCACTGAGATTACCTCGGTTAATCTCTTACAACATGGTTATGCACAATGCCACATGCTGGACAGCTAAAGAAACCTTTGGGGAAGTGCTGATTCCACACCTCTGTCACTGACGGCTCCTGTTACCATGAACAGTATTAGCAATACAAATAATTGTTTGCTCTAATGAATTCTGTCTCCCTCCACCTGTCTGCATTCTACTTTGGCCTGTAAATCAGTCCAGGGAAGCAACCTTTGGGTTGTAGGGAGGCGAAGGATGCTGGGGGACAGGACTTCTTCATTGCAGGTGGCACAAAGATTCTGATCACTGAATGCCATTAACTGTTGGCACTGGCACCTTTGTGCCAGAGGTTGTGGCACAGTTCCCAGACAGCATTTACTGTGGCTGAGCTGGAATTAGTGACTTTTTTGGGAGTAAGTAGTTTTTGGCTTTTACAATTGTGCCACTGCCATGTAACATAATTAGGCATTATTCCAGAGACTGGTAAAATTTTATCAGAAATCACAGTACATTTTTGAACTACTACTACTACTACTACTACTACTACTACTACTACTACTACTACTACTACTACTACTACTACTACTACTACTACTACTACTACTACTACTATTACTGCAGAAAGATTTCTTTAACATGCTGTTTGTGAACGCTCTTTCTTCTGTCTTCTGCCACACTTGTGGGATCAGTGTCATAATCAGCGTCATGAATCAGTCATGATAAGACACTTTAGATCTGAATTTCAGAACAAAAGCTGGGGTGTTCCTGTCACGTTTATTTAGCTTTTGGATGAGATCAGACCTGATTCTGACCCTGACTGCAGCAGCACAGAGTGCACAGGTGTTCCTCAGGCTTTCTCAGGTGCATTGCAGGCGGCAGAGCTGGCAGAACACCCAACCCTTCAGGTGCTCACAGCAGACAGACTGACTCGCCATCACTCCTTCTCTATTCCCACCAGAACACGAGCCTGTGGGACCTACACAGAGTATTAATTCGCTGCGCCCGATTTCTCCCTGCAGGACGCCTACAACATGGCAGAGCTGCAGGTGTCCATCCAGGGCAGCCCGGCCTATTCCCGGCACAGGAGGAAGGAGCTCCCGGCCCCGCGGCAGGCCGCCGTGAGGGCGCGGCCCGGCCCGGCGGGGGGCGCGGCGCTGGGCCGGGCGCTGCCCGCGCTGCTGAGGGAGGCCGAGCGCCGCGGCCCGGGCCCGCCGCAGGACTCGCTGCGCGTCTTCTGCACCGAGGGCGCCGGCTCCAGCGCCGGCAGCCTCAGCTCCCTCAGCTCCCTCAGCTCCGCGGGGCTGGGCGGCGGCAGCAGCGCCTGCGAGGACATCCACGAGTGGGGACCCAAGTTCGAGAAACTGAGGGAGCTGTACTCGCACAGAGAGGCAGGAGACCTGTAGCTCCCCAAGGCTGCTCTGTGCAGTTCTGGAGGCAGAGGTGAGGCACGGTTTTTTATACTCCTGCTCTGTATTACCCCAACCCGGCCTTTTTTCCTTATGCCAACAGGGATTCAGATTCCCACAAAGGAGGCACATTGGGCAGCAAAGGTGGGTAGGAGCTCGCCTTGGGACATGCTGGACATCTGCATTTTGGTATATAAACCTACTGGGAGGAATAAAGAGAGAATCTGGGGTATGCAGCCATTCACATAGTGTGGTTAAGAAGTCCAGGTCTCTTTTATCACTGAAGTAATGCAGGACTCTTGAGGGATCCAGTGCACACGGCCGGAGGTGTGCTGGAGCTGAGGGAAGCATGCTGGATGTGCTCTTTCTGGTGCTTTGAGTTATTTGAAGAAAAACAAAACACCTTGTGTTTTTCTCATGTAATGAAGTCCATGGTGTATTACATCCCTCTCATTTCTCACAGTGCCCAGGGACAGCCCTGCTCACTGATCACAGTGCAGGTGCCAGTCCACGGGCACAAGAAAAGGAAAGAAGCAGAAGGATGAACTGGAACTTCACTTATACTGTGCTGAAATCCCTTTATGCTGCCATACAAGGACAGAAACTGGATTTAGGCATAACACATGAACCCAGCTGCTTACATAATTTTCCTAAGGAAAAGGCCAGGTGTGCTGGCTGCATGCCTCAAAGGGGGCTGGTCAGGAATTTCAGTAGCAAATAACACAGTACATCACAATCTCTCATTCCTAATGAGCTGCTAAACTGAGCCTAAACCAGCCTGAACTGTGCCATTTGCATCTACAACTGTGTCCCTCATGTTTTGTTAAATCTCCTTTGATAGAATCATTTGCAGGACATATCTGGGGACAGAGGAACAGGGAAAACTAACAGCAGTAGCAGGGGGTGGAATATAATGCTCTAAATTAATCAGTCCCTTTTTGAAACCATTTAATGTCCAGCTACTATGCTGGATTTTTCTTAAACTTGACAATATTTGGAAGAGAAAAGGTGCCACTAAATTAATTTTGATTTTTTTTTTTTTTAATTGAGACCACTTGTACAGATAAATGGAGTACAATGCAGCAAACCCTAAATCTTAAGCTGTGCTGTTTCTTCTATGTATCATATGTAAATTACATCTACTATAATATGTAAACTATATGTAATATGTACATTATATATTATGAGCTAATAATATGACTATATCCTAGTTTCTAATAATGTTTCATTAAAACAAAGCATGAAACAATGTATTGTAACAGACACTGAGACTGCTTTGCTCAGTAGCTTGTTTTGGGAGGTTTGGCTTTTATTTTTATACATCTGTTAAAACCCATAAGTAGGTGAATGCTGTCTGCAGGCCAGCTCAGTTTGCATGTTTCCCAAATGAGAAATGTTCACACAGTACCTTGTTCTCATGTGCACTTGTGCCTGCCTGGAAAATCCTGAGTGCACCATTCATTAAGCACTGTTACACACAGCAGGTGGTGGGCACTGTCCTCTGGAAAACCTAAATCCAGTTGTTACTCACACCCAATGGTTTTGGTTCACACACAGTACACAGTGATTTTGTACTTTTACTGACACATTTATTTGCCTGGGAGGAAACCTTGGCTGAAACATCTCGCAGTGTTCACCAGTCCAGTCTGCCAGCTCCTGTATTCCACCATCTCAGCTGTCACAAACAGGGTATGGAAAATGAACTAAATATGTATTATGCACAAAAATCTATTCCTTCCTGAAACAGCAATAATTTTGTCTACATACCTTGTGTTCTTCCCATAGCTATGGCCATGCTGGTGCTTTGGCTGGTTTTAATTAAATTTAGCCTGTAAGCTCCTTGGGGCCAACACTGTCTTTATTTGCCTGTGAAGTGTCCTGCCTATCTCAGGCACCATATAAATAATAAACCAGCCTTCTGTCCTGGGTGTCTCTGCCTTGTTTGTGTTTAAGGATGACTGAAGGGTGGACTCTGTTGAATTATTTCTCTCTCAGTTTTGATCAGATGCTTCCACAGATGTGAGTCATGGGTGCTGTGCTGCCTGAAAAGCTTCTGCTGGTGGGCTCAGGATCCAGTTACCCACCCAAAAACCACTGTGGGTTTCCCCAGGGGAATGAGACCTCATCAAAGCTCTTCCTCCATCCCTGAGGAACTGGTCCCTGGGTGAGAGTGACAGCAAGTGGTGCCCAGGAACCCTAAAGGTGACAAACATGGGTCACACAGAGCAGCCACAGAGCTGATGTGCAGATGTCTCAGTGCTGTTCCAAATGTTGCTGCCCTGCTGCTGCTTCCTTCCCCATTTCAGCTGTGGCCCTAGTCTGTAACCAGACATGGAAACAGCAGCCCCAGAGCCTCGGAGCTGCCTCTGCACTGACAGTGAGCCCCACCTTGTACAGAACACACAGACTAAAACAAAAGGGCAGGAAACATTTCCAAACTCCTCTAGGAGCTTGTGTCGATACAATCTCAGTAATAGGACACACTCATTTACAGCTGTCATGCCCTATTAAAGCCTACTCTTCCTCGTTCCAGAGATAACTAATTAGTTCACTTAATTTATCTGTTTTAATTTGCATGCTGTCTTTTAATTACTGTGCAGTTGCTGAAATCATATCCTCACTTGTTCTGCATTTGCACAGGCACACACAAATATTTCAGTGCCTCTGCAGAAAGGCTTATCCCAGCACTGCCATGGCTCCCAGGGAGAACAGCTGGCTTTCCACAGAAAGCTTTGGGTCGGGGGGAAGGAAAAATATTGAATAAAAAACCCCATTGGGTCCCTAGGTAGTGGGATTTGCAGTAATCTAGTACTTTTATTAATCTTCTTCCATGTTCTTTACAGACTTTAAACATATAGTAAGAACATTTTATTTAGCATAAAATGTTTGTAAAGGTCTGAAATTTAAATAATCATGTGGATATTAGTATTTAATCTGGCTGCCTGTCAACTACATTAATCTTTGTGGTTTTCCCCTGTTAAAATAAAACTCCAAGTACATAACATGGAGCCAAGCCTTAGGAAAGCTGATTGTCCTTAGGCCTGACCTACTGACCAGCAGGTTTAGGAGGGAAAAGAGGGCTGTAAAAAAGCAGGATTAGGTGGGCAGAAGAAAGCTGAGCATTTTCTTAATTATGAGAATGCTAAAACCCATGGCCATCTCCTGGGGATTTAAAGGAGGAGGTTCCCTGGAGCCCAGAATCCCCTCTATGCAAAAACACCACGTGTGGCTCATTTACATTAATTACATTAATTAGAGATTAATTACATTAATCTCTAATTAATGCTAGTGACAAACTCCCCCCAGCCCCCTTTAGTCCAGTCCTACACATGGGCAGTTTTCTCTCCAGCTCTGCACATCCTGCAGCTCTTGCCACAAGAGTCACATCAGGACATCCTACTGCACACAGAGCCCTTGAAATGTGCTTCTTCACTCCCAAAGAATGCACCTTTCTGTTCAATAAAAATACTGAACTTGAACTACAGTGTGGAAACAAGCAGATCCTTGCTGGGCAAAGCATTTACTATATATGTAAGTATAAATAAATAATACACTTATACACTTAATAAAGAAAGAAATAATATTTATTTAAATGGATATACTGCCTCAGCCGACTGACCGTACTGGAGTTGACATGTGTGGGGTGACGACTGATAAAAATCATGGCTGGTACCTTTAGCTTCTAACAAAGGAAGCCCAGTGAGCTGTTAAAACACAAAGGTGATTCCAAAAGTTAGTGCTGTACACAATATAATGATCTTGAGAAGCCAAAACTTGCTTGTGAAGAATATTTTGCTTTCTTCCATATAGACTGAAACAAAGCTCATTCCCAAACCAGGTCCTTGTCAGCCCATCCCAACATAAAAACAAGCAAAGAAAGTGACTTTCAAATTACACAATTTATTTAGTATACAATAGTCATTACATCTCTTTACAACAACATATTATAAAATAACTATGTTAGATCCCACCAGCAGAACACTGAAACAAGAAATTAAAATACACTTATGGATCTCAAAGGCTTTTCTCTCCTAAAAAAGTCCTGGTTCCTCGATAGCACTTTTGTCTCTGCAATCTCAGAAAAAGTAATTTATACCACAATCCCACTGATCACATGCAGCACGAAGTCCTTGTGGCCACCAAGGAGCACACGGGAGGAGCCTGTCCCTGCCATTGCCACTGCTGGGGGTACCTCAGGAAAGGGAGGTGCAGCCCCTCTCCCCCAGCCCCTCCCAGGCTTGTCCCAAACAGGCGCAGGGAGGAGCTGCTCCCTCGGAGCAGGGAACTGCTTTTGGCTCTTGGCACCTGGATGTACTGTTTGAAGCAGGTTGGTGTCTGAATGCTGCACTACAGTCCCTGGAATAGTGTTAAACCTTTCTGATAATCTCTCATAATGCATCTTTCTGTGTAAAAAACCCCAAACAAACCAGATTGCACTTGGTAGTTTCTATGAAAATGTTAAATTTCTCCTTTGGCAAGATTAGAAACTGCATTTTTGAAATAAGTTTGTTTAAAAATAATTACTGTTTCAGTCAGGATTTCTTAGTCTCAGCTGTTACCTACAAGTAAATTCTGAAGAAACCAGGTTATCACTGGGCCTGGGAATGCCTCCCCTCCACCAAAAGAAAGTCACTGCACCTTTCCAGAAAGATGCAGTTGCATTCTAGAACATGCCATACAGCCCAGACATCTTTTACCTTTTGTGTGCTTGTTTTCAGTTACTGAAAGCACCCACTGAGGGATTCACTGACCCAGGCTTGCAGCAAGAATCATGCATCATTACAGGCCTAATTAAAGTTTTAATACTGATTAAAATGTTTTATTATTGTATTATGTTAAACTGCAGTGGTCTCCAACCTCATTAAAGGATACAGGCTAGGAATTACTCAGGAGTTTCAGCTACTCAGTGTAACAACCCAGCTCCTGTCAGTGTGTGATTTAACACAGCCTGGCTACAGCACAGCCTTCTGTGCCACAAAGGCAGAAGGATGTTAACA